AGTGGAGCGGTTAAGCCTCCAATTATGATCTCTTTACTAGGCGTTCTAAAGGTGTTCTTGTCAAACCATGAATATCTACGTGTATCTTGCGCTTTCTTGCAGAATGAAGAAATACAGATAACATAGAAGCTCAAGGCAGGCTTTGTTCTCTTCGTGCCCTGTTCTTTTGGAGCAGTTGTTTGAGCTCCAGTTTTGATCTTGAGGAATAATTATGAATAAAAGCAAAAGCACTAATTCATTCGAATCATTTCCTGTTCTCCATTGCCTCTCCCTCACAGTCCAATGCACACCAGGCTACTATTCTCCATCTGGTTTTGCTCCATGCATCCCGTGTGGAGAAGGTCAGTTCTTACCGATGAGAGGTCACAGCGGTTGTTTCAATTGTCCTCCTGGACTCTCGTCTCCACGTGGATCAGCATCTCCTTGGGACTGTAAAGGTAACTACTGTTTCACAAAAGCTTTTATATACAGTAGGCTTGCGGGTGCACCATGTGCGAGAGAGAGAGAGAGGATTGAGGAGTCTTGAAAAGGACTCTCGGTAATCTTTCTTGAGGATGTGTAGTCCTAAAAAGGACTGTTTGTGTAGTCTTGAAAAAGACTGTTGGTTATCTTTCTTAGCTTATAGTTCTAAGGATACTATAGTGCTTGGAGAGGATGAGTGGCGGGAGTGGCTTTTAAATTCATTAAAGTGGAACCAAGTGTAAAGTTCTGAGTTAAGGAACGTTCAGATGACGTTAAGTGTAATACACTTTACACATGGCTCAATATAATTATAGAGGCCACAAGGTTCAATTTTGTATTTTTCAATTCATGACTGGACAGTTGTGCTTATTCATTTTGGTACAGACTCAGTGTATTGTATGGAATAATGATGGTAAACTAGGTTGAACTTGTCTGCCTTTATGGATATGATCTGAGCATTTTTGTATGTTGTTAGTTCAGGAAAATTGGCCTCATTGTCTGGGTGGTGACATTCAGAATTCATTTACAATGACTGGTCTACATATTGATATGCAATGCAGTAAAACTAGAATTCTCAACAAACCATTTCTCAAATTCTCGATGATGAGTTTTCCTTACATTCCAAGACAAATGAATGACTTTCATCATGACCATGCAACATTTAAATGATTCTTTCAGATACACATTTTCTGTTTTTGTATTTCATATTTCAGAACCCTTTCCGCCTGGTCAGTAGGGCCTACTCATGCATCGGCAGGATACAAGCCATGCCTGCCTTGTCGCCCTGGCACCTACCAACCTCACAAAGAGCAGAAGACTTGCGAGGCCTGTCAAAAACAAAGCAGTGAAAGTGTTGAAGGGGCCCGGTCAATTAGTGAATGCACATTACATGGTTGAATAAAAAAGGAAATTATTTTAAATTTGCCAGAATTGCAAAAGGAGCACATTGAGATTAAGATCATCTGATAGTGGGGAGCTGAATATTGCTTTTACTGTGTAAGCCTGAGATGACTTGGACTAGAATCTATGAAAAATGAGTTTTATACAAAAGTCAAATCAGACTGAAGAATTACAGCAGAGTTTATGTTTGTTGTACACATCGAATCGTATTGCTCACCTTTGATGTTCGATAAAATGCATTTATATCATACATACACAGGTTTCTTCAATGAATGTAAGCACATTTTATGTTCAAAGAGTAAAGGAAGAGGTTATAATTGTTTAGATCAACTTTAGTTTTCTTCTTTTGATATTTATATGTCAAATAATTCTGACAAAATATTGGTCCAGCGCCTTGTGCTATGTTTACTAACAGTATTAGGAAAGTTATTTGATAATTTACATTACAAGAAAATCTTAAAGATATGAATGTATTCAGATGATGCTTTAGTTCATTTTTTTTCTTGAAAGCATTGTTTAGCCCTTTGAGCTTTTGTTGAATAATTTTGTGTCGGCTTGCAGGAAATCATTAGTTCTACATCAGCAAACATGCTGTGATTTGTATAGAATACATAGGCAAGGAAAATAACTTTGCAGATGTTACCGCCTTACCGTGCATATTGCATTTACCTTGTACATGTAGTAACAAAAGAAAGAAAATGTTGAGAACAGGTCTGATTTATTATAAATTTAGCTTACCGTACTCAGATGCCAGTTAAATGAAAACAATACTGAATTGAGTTTACAGTAGTATTGCATGTCTTGTTTTTGTATTGCTTGTACACGTATGGAAGCATCCATATCTTGTTCAAAGCAGGGTTTGGTTATATCTCCCGTTTTTTCATTTACAAGCACATTCATGTATATGACAGTATTAATGTTTTGCATTTTCTTAAATGTAATGCACAAATATTAGATGGATGAAGGTGTGTTTGTGATATAATTATTCTGTTTTTGCAGGTCAAATGAAGAAGAAGAAAGAATGCATATTAATGTAAATTCATATATTTTCATGTCATCAGCAATTTATCTTTGAATAACAAATAATCTTGGTCAATAAATCAAAAGGAAAGCAATTATTAAATGTTTTATATATTTTTATTTTTCATTTGTGATAGGAAAAAAAAAATCCCTATTCCACAATATACAAATATTTATAAAAATCACACTGTGTGCTTTATATGTACAAAAGCGGGTGCCTCCCAAGCAATACACATATACTTTTATATACAAGTGAATCACACGTGACATACTTTAATCAATAATATAAAACCTGTTGAACAGTGAATGGCAGTTAAGGCAATTCAATCTCAATATTTATAATCACATTTAATTGTACAAAATTCAATTTATTCATTTCATGAAAGATTTCATCAAAAATAATTATATAGTATATTCATAATTAATTTGCTTCATTTGGAACATTTTGGACGGATGCAAAGACACTTTTTGGAAGTTTGGAATTCATCAAAAAGAATATCTATCAACATTTGGTGGATTCTTAAAGTCCATCCTGATATATAGTTGGTTTTAATAGAAGCAGAAAAATGAGAGGAATGGGTAAGTGAAAGTTTGAGCAAATTCCAATTAAACATAATGAAGTTGCGATCAATCAAACAGAAATTGGCAACTCTGACATATCTTGCTCTGTACTAACTAAAAAAAAGTGAAATTTAATCTGTACATGCACTCACAAAACATTTATTGCAAACATGTTTCTCTACAACCACTGTAGGGGGAAAAAAAATCTATTACGTCATCGATAACAAAAATACTAACGACTTTATGAAAGTTAATGTACAGAGCAAATTGGTAAGTTTAGATATGGTGTTTGGTTTCGGATTGAAGATAAGAATTCAAAACGTGGAGGGAATTAAATGCGGAACAACTGCAGCAATATAACAGCATCTGTGGGAACTCAAGCAGCACAGACGTATATTTTATACCGTAAGACATAATTTGATCAGAATTAGCGCGATAAGGGAAAGCAAAATGCATAGTGAGACCAAAGTGTCAACATTTTTCATGCAAAAATAAAAATATAAGGCACAAACCAATATAATTACTGCAAGGCAAAAAAAAAGCACTTTAGTCATTATGTCAATACAGTACATTATAAGAATACAATATTGCTATTAAATGCTACCCTGTTTTACATACATATTTTTAAAAGATAATGTGGATTTCAAGAATTCTTGAATACTAATAAACATTGACTAATTTAGACAATAAAATTATCTTCGATTTGAAGAGAACTTTTGTCACATTATTTGTAAGTAATTGTGCATTTTATTTTGGCAAAATAAAATTAAAAATTCTGATCGATTGTAGCTCCGATATTATGCAGGGTCCATATGGTAATTTGGTTATTACAAAACTATTTTTATGCCTCCGCCACCGAAGGTGGTGCCGGAGGCATCATGTTTTCGGGTTGTCCGTCCGTACGTCCGTACGTCCGTCCGTCCCGTTTGACCGTTATCACAATATCTCAAGAACCATTTAAGATTTAAACTTAAGACTTGGGAATAGTATTTATCACCATAGGAAGACGATCTGATTAGATTTTGGAGTACGTAGGTCAAAGGTCACAGGTCACAGAGGTCAACTTATGAAATTCCTTGTATTGAGTTTGTTAGCGCGATATCTCAAGAACCATTTGAGATTTAAACTTCAAACTTAAGGATAGTATGTATCACCATAGGAGGACGATCTGATTAGATTTTGGAGCACGTATGTCAAAGGTCAAGGGTCACAGAGGTCAACTTATGAAATTCCATACATTGAGATTGTTATCATGATATCTCAAGAACCACTGGAGATTTAAACTTCAAACTTAGTGATAGTGTGTATCACTATAGGAAAACAATCTGATTACATTTTGGAGCACGTAGGTCAAAGGTCAAGGGTCATAGAGGTCAACTTATGAAATTCCATACATTGAGATTGTTATCATGATATCTCAAGAACCACTGGAGATGTAAAAACTTCAAACTTAAGGATAGTATGTATCACCATAGGAAGACGATCTGATTAGATTTTGGAGCACGTAGGTCAAAGGTCAAGGGTCACAGAGGTCAACTTATGAAATTCCATACATTGAGATTGTTATCATAATATCTCAAGAACCACTGGAGATTTAAACTTCAAACTTAATGATAGTGTGTATCACCATAGGAAGACAATCTGATTAGATATTGGAGCACGTAGGTCAAAGGTCAAGGGTCACAGAGGTCAACTTATGAAATTCCATACATTAAGATCATTAGCGCGATATTTCAAGAACCACTGGAGAATTTTCACTTCAAACTTAATGATAGTATGTATCACCATATCATAATATCTCAAGAACCACTGGAGATTTAAACTTCAAACTTAATGATAGTGTGTATCACCATAGGAAGACAATCTGATTAGATTTTGGAGCACGTAGGTCAAAGGTCAAGGGTCACAGAGGTCAACTTATGAAATTCCATACATTGAGATTGTTATCATGATATCTCAAGAACCACTGGAGATTTAAACTCCAAACTTGTTTAAATTGCTCTATGGCGGAGGCATCATTTTCGACTGCGCGCAGTCAAAATTCCATCTAGTTAAGTACTTATCTATTTACCCAGAAAAGACACATCTAAGTTGCATCCTACAATTATTTAGCTGTCATGCGAGTATGTAGAATAACCCTAAATCTAAATCTACTACATTCTACATAGTGTATCATACAGGTACATGTGCAGATCTACCTTCAAGTAACACGGTCGTTTATAAGGTTATCCACTGCTTGAACATATTCATTTTCTCCTTTTACATTTTTCTTGAATACGATATACTTGTGAGCTCTTGATGTACAAAAACTGTTATGAATTGAAACTTTCTGAAAAAATAATTGCACAAAAGGATAACAGACATTCATGTATATGGACGGATATAATTTGTCTCTAAAGACTCATTTTAGGAGCTGACCTGGGGCTGAATGTCTAGACTACAGCATCACATGCAGACAGACTGATCCTCATAGTACATGGAGCTACAGACCAGTTCTCCACGTTCTAAATGACTTTTAGTTGGATGCCTGAAGAAACCATCCATGAAGGTCAATTCACACACAAGGCAATAGATCATTCGGAAGAAAAACAAACAAAAACAAGGCAGCAAACAATTAAAAAAAAATCATTATGTCCTTTACATTGCATTGCATACAAGAATATATCTATAATACACAGATCTGTGAGTGTTTGTATAGGGGCCATCGTCATACGCAGGTTTTTTCTTCTTCATACCCATCAAATGCATCCTCTGGCACTCATACACATGCTAAGTTTTCCTGCAGCAGTTTTTGTTTAAAAGCAGTTTCCTGTGTTTTGAACTGGTTTAGCATGTCATGATTGCATGGGGCAATTAAAGGAGACAAATCTTGCTTCTCATAGCAATCAATGTCAGTCAGTCCCAAGCTACTTTCGAATTCTTGGCCTTCGCCGACGCCATGTTGCCCTCTTCTATCTTGACTTTGCGTCCGTTGCCCTGGGCGACGACCTTTGGAGTACGGACCTGACGAGAGCGGACCGGAGCCGAGGTGGACCTTGGGGGAGGTTTGCCTGACGTGGAGGTAGCTGCTGTCGTGGGACGGCTGTTGAAACCCATGGTTGTGTTCGGTCGACTCTGTTGCCTGCTGGAACCTACAAGTAACATAGATAAATGGAAAGAATGAGAGTTGGCATATATATTTTTATTATAATTGGTATGAGAAATGGAAACGGTTAAACTTTGTTAATATGGTTTGTCCCAATGTAGAATACAATTCACAATCACCTTTAATATTCATAATGCTTCTGGCGATATTAGTCTTTAGTTTCATCCTTTCATGTTTCATTGGTCTTATGAAATTAAAAAAAGTGTAAAAAAAAAGACTTCTGAAGAAACCCCATATGAAAGGATGGATTAAACAAATTTTATAACTGCACCTTGTTTTTAAATTGTCAATGCTCACATACATGAATATTGTATCTGATCATACCACTATAGCTGCCTCTGATATTTGAGATTAAGATAAAAGTTAATTTACAGTTAAAAGCAAGCAGCTAATCTACATTTCTTTTGTGACCTTTACACACACATTACATGTACATGTATTTCCAGGTTCTTCTTTTCAACATTATTGTATGAGCTTGCATACATGCAGGCACCTTCATGTGAGTGAACTTTTGTTGAATGAATATTGCTGCATTTACAAGTATTACTGACAAGAAAATGAAACTCAGTATTGTTGTTTTTGTCGTTGTCAATGTTTACCTCTTGGTCTTGGAGGGGGCACAGCAGATGGACCTCCATGCTTCTCCAAACTAATCACACAGAAAAGAAAAACACAAGAGATCATTTAATTATTTAAAATACAAATCAATTACAATACAATACAATTTTTTCATATTCAGACATTGAACTTTTTTAACCAGCGCCAGTTCAATTTGCACTTATCAAGTTGGCTAAAATTCATCTATATTACAGTAAATTTCACAATAAACAAGTCTGGCTGGGATAAATCTGGAGCGCCTAAAGTGTCAAGTGTGACAGACATGAGAGCTACGTAGGCGAGAACCTGTTATGACTGTCCGGCTGTTGATCATACCTGAGAGCTGGTAGTCCTACAATCTGCTGTCTCCTGTACTCCTCCGTGAAGTCCTCTGAGATCTTGCCATCTTTATCTAGGTTGTCCATTAGCTTATGAAACAAACCCGGTGTGTTCCTGGTCGCTATCAGCAACAGCCGGGTCGCCGTCCGGTTGAAGGTCAGGTAGCCGAGGGCGACGGCCGATGAGCAACGGACTTCGATGTTGTCGGAGTGGAGGTGATTGATGAGGATATCTACAGCACCGGAGGTGATCATGGCATCAGGAATGCCAGCCCTGGTATGGGCAAGACTCGCTAGGAGGCTCCCTGGAGTAGGGTTGAATGGTAAACGGTGATTAAAGAGATTTGTTTTGAGAACAGTCAAACCTGCAATAAAGACTACTCAAGGGAGATGAGAAATATCCAAAGATAAGTGGTCTTAATGAACAGGTTCCTTCTTTCCAACAGGGTTCAACTCGAGACTCTGTTCTAGGGAAATAAGAAATGTGATCGTACACGGCACTAATATCCTTTACCAAGATATTAACCTGCACTTGCTACTCTCCACCCAGGTGTTAAATGGGTACCCGGTAGGATGCGACTGCATTGTTGGTCAAGTTGGTCAAGTAACGCCTGATTGGAATGCTCCCCAGGGAGTGGAGATTGTGCTCACAGTGTGTGCGGGCAAGTATAGAATCCAATGACCGGGGTAATAGTATAGTGTTGCCAGTGGAAATCACATAATTTCCCTCAGTAAAAAACAAAAAAATTAATTCCAAAAAAAATCTGGAACAAAAATTAGATGCAACATTGCAAGTCGCATTTCGATATCTTATAACACACAGATATAAGTACACACCTGAACCCTGAACCTTAACCTGCACTTGTTGTTCATTTAATCTCTTTTTTTAAGCGGCAGAACTGTTCGGGAGGCCAAGAAGTGCTGAAATCTTACCTGCCAGAATAACTGTGTTTGCGTTCTCAGATTTGAGTAGTCCTACCAATCTGGTCACGCCGTCTGCTGATAAAGAAACTTGATCCCTGTCTACGATAACACGGGCCAGAACCACAATCTGTAAATATATGTCAGTTGCAATATAAATACACCAAGAAAAATTTCAAGTACATCATCCATTGCAGGTTCAAATGTATTGTTTTGTAGTTTAACTTTTCTTCTACTGGCATTTCCTCCACGCTATAAGAAATATGGTTAGGGGTAGGTTAGGAATTTGGTTTTTAGATTAGAAGTTTAATAATTATTTAAAGGCTTACCTAATTGGGTATATATTGGTGGTCCAGGGTTAAGGATTTGGTGAGTGTTAGAAATTGAGCACAGAGCACTTGTCACCAGAGTAAGTATCATAAAATGGTAGATTTCTGTTGTCCAGGATGAGCATACAGTATTAACATACAGTCTCTCACATCAGGAAAAAATGTCACTTGACACACCCAGGACACATTTCACTGACCTCCCTTTGCCCTTTGACCCCACTGACCTGGAAGGCAGCATAAGCTTGATGAGTCTCGTCCTCTGACTCTAAGAATCGTTGGAAGTTAGACATCCTGATGCCACCTGCCTCCCGTATGTTGTACTGCTGGCTGGTGTTGTTGAAGGCAAAGGTGGACAACGCTGTCCCTGCTTTCAGACGGACGCTCTGGGTTTAAAGAAAGACCAGAATATGCAGTAAGACCCGTGTATCGCTCAAGGGAGACAAGATAAGCTGTCTTAATTGGCAGGTGGTTTTTAAGTTCATCCGTTCGTACACATTACAATGAGAAAACTATTAAACATCACAGAAAGGTTTACCGTTTTCTAGCATCATTGATAATCAAAGTACACCGAGACTTACATCGTCTTTCTCATTCATGAGCTGTAGCAGAAGATGGATGCTGAACATCGGTTCTTCTTCCAGCAGCTTCTGGTTGCCACGGTTACCCAGGATGATGGCTCCGAGGGCAATGGCGATCTCCACCTTGATGTGATGGTTAGAGGAGGAGCGCAGGAGACCCACCAGGGTCCCGATCGCCCCCTCCTCAGCAATCTTGTTCTGGGTGACGGGGTTGTTACGGTTGGCCACACCTGATAGAGGAGGGAGGAAACCACCACAAAAATGAAGGGGAAAGTCATTAAGAATGCTCCCCGGGGAGTGAATTATGTGCATACATTGTGTGTGGGTAAGCCTGAATCCGATGACTGGGGTAATAATATATCTGTAAAGCGCTTAGACACATTGATGTATTGATGTATTGGGCACTATATAAAAGCGGAATATTATTATCATTATTATTTTAAAACTTAGCACTTTCTTGTTTCTTCTTTTCACTCAAGCTCTCTTTTTACCTGATGGCTTTTAGGATGAAGGAGTGCAATTGAGTGATAACAGTATATACAGTAGTAATATATATGAAGAGCTCAAGATACTTGAGCAGAAATAACACACAAACACACACACACACACGCACACATATCAGTACTATGTGTTTCTATTCACAATTTTGTTGTTGTTGAAATAAATTAAGGTCCTTAAATCGAGTTTAAAAAAAAAATCAGTGATAAGAATTGTCAAATTGGTAACATGTAGACAAATGTAAACGAGAAATTGATGGCTATCAACTTGCCAAATACAATCATGTCAATATTTCTTTGTACCTTTTCAATTAAGAAACAGGTTTTAAGTTTCAAGTTTATTTTGTTTCACATTTCACAAAAAAAAAGAATTCACATAATTGACAAAATTAGAACATAATATGAAATATGCTAAAAGTGTCACATTATATAATCAATTCTTTGAAAAGACGTTGAAATTAATTGTATTGAATAGTAGGTTATACAGGGTGAAATGTGAGGAACCTATTGAAAAGCTCAGCTTGTAGGTTATAGGTTCCCATAAATAAAACTCATATTTAAGTTAAGGAAGAACGTACCAGAAAATAAAATGAAAATATAATGTGTTGCCAATTTGAAAAGGAAACGTTGATACAGAATGATGGAGATGGTGCACATCTTACCTATACAGAGTGTCCCGAGTGCCCTGATGACTGTCATGAGAACCCGCTCTATCGTCTTGGAGGAGCGCAGGATACGAACGAGAGGTAGAATACCATTCTCTTTCTTGATCTCGTTCTGATTGTCAAAGCTTTCTCTCGTAAGGGCAATCATTGCCTTGCATGCTGTAATGGGAATATTAAGCAGGGATGCCAGTTAGAATTGATCAGAGGGCCTAAAAATCACAGAGAATGAGTTATTTTATACACAAAAAAGCCTAAACTAGGGTCTGAAAATAACTCGCCAGGGCCTGAATTCAGGCTATTGCCTGAAAACTGGTATCCCTGATTAAGCAAACCAAAGTGAATTAATATTTAGGGTGCTGCACTTTAGTGATCATAACTGGTGAAAATCAAATAAATTTTATTTATTCTTTACTAATTACTATTATGAAAATTTTTTGACCATGCAATTGACAAAACTGATATAAACTCATTACATTTTTTTAGTGAAAATTATTTATTACTATTACGTGAATAACTGAAATTGCTATACATTACACAAAATGTTTGCAAACAAAATTGAACCAAAACTATAAACTTGATGAGAATCACATACATTGAAAACCATGGTTTAGGTTATGGTTTGAATCAAAGCCCTTTTGAGAATTTAGGCCAATGTATCCTCAGACTACAGGGCAGCACCTTGTATCTCGTGGAAAAGGTGCGATATACATATAAATCCAATACTAACCATGATCATTATGTGGTAAACAATTCGTTTGTAAATTGTGTTGGATGCTGAGAGAAATTTAGAGTCTATTTAACTTACCAACATATTGCAATCTCTCTGACTTGACGATGAGATCGATGATGCCGCTGATCCCAATGTATTGAGCGATCTCCTTCTGCTGTCTCCTGGTGTCTCCTGCTAAGGCCCACAGGGAGCAGGCCGCTTGCTCCTTCACATCTAATGCCCAGAACTACATCAAGACAAATACATACCAGTAATGAAATGGAATAGATGTGTGTGTGGGTGTGATTGTGTGAGTCTCCTGCCAACGCCCACAGGGAGCAGGCCGCTTGCTCCTTCACATCTAATGCCCAGAACTACATCAAGACAAATACATACCAGTAATGAAATGGAATAGATGTGTGTGTGGGTGTGTTTGTGTGTGTCTCAATGTACTTAGTGATCTCCTTCTGGTGTCTCCTTTCGTTGTCTCCTGGCGTCTCCTGCTAAGGCCCACAGGGAGCAGGCCGCTTGCTCCTTCACATCTAATGCCCAGAACTACATCAAGACAAATACATACCAGTAATGAAATGGAATAGATGTGTGTGTGGGTGTGTGTTTGTGTGTGTCTCAATGTACTTAGTGATCTCCTTCTGGTGTCTCCTTTCGTTGTCTCCTGGCGTCTAAGGCCCACAGGGAGCAGGCCGCTAGCCCCTTCACATCTAACGCCCAGAACTACATGAAGACAAGTACATACCGGTAATAGATTACAATAGATTACAATGTATATGTAATAACACCATTGACTCACCATTAGGAGCTTGATGAGAGCTCCTGGAGCATGTAGATCCAGGATGGCCCTCTGAGACTCCGGGTTGCTCTCTCCCAGAGACTCTAGGGCAGCGGCGGCCTTGACCTGGACCTTGATGTTGTGACACTTGATGAGCTTGACCAGCGGCTTAACCGCTCCCTGAGCGATGACCGCATTCTGGTTGTCAAGGTGACCGTAGGTAAGAGCAGCCAGGGCGGCCGCTGAGGCCTCTTTCAGCTCATCTGGAAAGGCAGAAGATAAGAAAAGGTTATTTGTTTTTTGTCTATCTGGCTGGTGGACTATAACATGTATATAATCAGTTCTGGGGAGTGTTTCACAAAGACTAAGATCGACTTTAAGTTGGACTTAACTATGGCAGGCTGTTCATGCCACTGTTTGCTCTCACCATTATGATCTTTAGATAATATTTTTTCCTTCCATAATGAACTTTAACAAAAATGTAAATTTTGTAGATTTGTGACCATGATTTGTACGTCCCTTGAGAGACCAATGCCAGTAAGTGGTGAGAGCAAACAGTGGCATGAATGGCCTGCCATAGTTAAGTCCAACTCAAAGTTGATCTTAGTCTTTGGGCCCCCTCTTGCAAAGAGTTGCAATTGATCCAAATCGATCACAAGTCTCTTATCTCCTATGTATACAGTTGTCATTGATATCAATCACAAATAAATAGCGATTAATTGCAAATGTTTATAAGACAGGGCCCGGAGATATTACTAGGGAGAGGAAGAAGGTAAATGAGAACATGGAGTGGTTGCAAAAATCAGGTTTTAAGACATGAATGACTGAAAATGAGGAAATAGACAGAAACTAGAAGATGACATATGAATGATTGTGGAATGAAATGATAGAAGAATGATGAGAAGTTAATAGAATAACAGAAATCGAGAACAAGACAAGAATTGCAAACAGGAACCAAACAACTGTTACAAGAAAAAGTGATGAGAAGAAATTGAAATGGTAAGAAAAACAGAAGAAATGAGGAAAAAAAACCTAAAGAATACATATTATTGAGAATACAATGTACATGAGACAAGCAGAGGTGCCGATGAGAAAAGACCGAGAAGGATAGAGAAGGTAGACTATTGATCTTGAGAAGAGTGTTAATCAGAAGACATTCTCACCTGAATTGACCGTTAGAAACTCCACCAGCGGTCCAATTCCTCCATGCTTGGCAACCAACGTCTGATTCTCTTCATGGTCCAGACACAGCACCCTGACTGCGTTGACCGCCTGCTTCAGAACATCCTCCAGCTCTGAATCCAAAAGATGGATGAGAGGAGGGATACCCCCCTCGCGGCTAAACTCCGTCTGGTGGTCATCATAAGCGCCCATGTCGGCCACGACGATGGCCGTCCGCGACTGGATGTCGTCTCGGGATGCGGAGAGAAGCTTGATGAGAGTGGGGATTCCCCCTGCCTTGGCGATGGCATGGCAGATGGGCTCGTTGCAGGACATATTGCACAGGACGGCGGCTCCGAGGGATTGCATCTCAGAGGACTTCATCTGGAGGATCTTCACCAAGGCTGGGATACCATCTGATCAAAAAAATAAATGTTGAATCGGAGTATGAGAAATTACAGTATAACAGTAACATGATACACAGTAGGCTTACAGTTGCACCATGTGAGAGAGGGGGAGGATTGCGGAGATCTGGAAGGACTCTCGATAATCTTTCTTTCTTTAATGTGTGTGTATGTTTTTGTGTTTTGTGCTTTTGTAATAACAAATTCATGGCTATGTAAAAAATGCTTTAGCAGTACTGTATTACAGATCAGAGTGTCAAAAAAGCTTCAATTTGTAAAATAATAATGAAGCTGACTTTTGCAGAAAGGAAATAAAACTTTGAATAATTTTTTTATTTTAATGCATCATATTCAATCCACGTAAAAGGAACTTTAATGTTAAGCCTCTCTTCTGTGTAACAGGTTACACATCTTGCACAAAGATATCGAATCATGTATAAGAAGACTTATGCAGAATAACTTTAATATTGAACTAACTGCATAATAATCTATCTTAACTAAATATTCCTTCTGGAATACAATAAGTAAAAAGGGACATGTCTTACATGTACCAAAATGCAGCAAATGATAAGTCCGAAAATTTAATGGAATATAAGAATTAGCTTTAATGTTCAAGTTTGTAAAGAATACTGTATAATCCTGGCAGCATGATCATTACAGTAAGCATAAATGGGTACTACTGACACCAAAGAAGACTAGAGCCCTGTCTGATAAGGAGTTATGACTGATCACGATTGGTTGCAAACTCATAGACTCTTGTCTCTTTAGTACAGAGTTGCGATTGATGTGAACCATCCACGACTGTTCCTAAGACGGGCCCTGGGGGAGTTTCACAAAGATCCTAAGTTGAACTCGTTTCTAAGTTGGACTTAACAATTATGGAAAGCCATTAAGCATCTTTTTTATATTTTGTAAAAGTTATTTTAAATATTTCATATTTCCATTATCAAGGAGAGTTCATTTTCTTGATGTGGAATTTATGAAAAGTCTAAAATACTTGAATTTCTGCTTTTAAATAAATTTCATTTTAAGGCTCAAATGGCTCTCCGTAATTTTTAAGTCCAACTTTAATAGAGTCAAGTTCTACTTAGGATCTTTGTGAAACACCCCCCTTGTATTCAATCACAGCTTAGACTTACTGGCTTCCAGGATAGCTTTCCAATGGGGTTTACCAGACGTTGTAAGAACCTCCAGAGAACGGACGGCACTGTCTTTCTTACGGAAATCTGTTGAATTCAACATCTCTGTTTGGGAGACATGGAAATACAATGAAATACAGGTAAGCACACTGTTATATACAGAGTACACGTAATGTCACTGGCCTGGACACATAATTCTAGAGTTGTCAATACCTGTATTACATCTATTTACAGTACTGTTGTCAGACAGTTAGAGGGTTTGAACATCTCCATCTGGGAGACAAGGGAAATGAATTAATTCAATGGATGTGAACAGATAAAAGAATGAATTAAATGACTGGAAACATCACTCTAGAGTTGTCAGTACCTAAGTTATGTACTACTTGTAGTAAAGCAAATACAAGGCACCCTTGTACTGATACATGTGTGCAAACTGATGATTAATATCAAGAATATACGAGTGAATAGATTGAAGTAGAAAAGAAAACCTATCAACTGCTAAATTGTCTCCGTCCTGTAAACAAAGGGAGCACCTGGCTCCCATAAGAATTTGGTGAGGAATAAAGGATTTAAACAAATTATATTAAATAAAATTTAAAAAAAGTTTATTATTTCATTTCTAACATCTACATGTACTTCCGTCAAGGCAGCAACTACATAAAAACCATTGAGCAATTTCTAGTCCAAGGTATAGTCACTATGAATAACTAAGTACAGTAAAACCTGTCTATAAAGACCAACCAAGGAAGACAAGAATAGTTGTCTTTATGTACAGGTTACTTTAGTACATGTTTCAATGGGATACCATTTTCAAGGGAACAAAAAAAGTGGTCTTTGTAGGCAGGTTGACTTTCTATACAGGTGGTCACTAAAGCAGATTTGAATTTAGAGATCATGTGCTTACCAACGAGAGTCTTCCAAACTGGTGCATCCTTGTGGTTCCACTCGATGAAGAATTCCAGGACATAGGTATGGAACCTGAGAGCAGCCAGGTGAACCATGTTATTCCTCTCCGTGTCAGTCTTCAGGATCTTAGCACCCAGTTCAATCAGGATCTTGACAGACTCCAGCGCTCCACTGCTGGCGGCTAGGAGCAGTGGGGTCTGCCGTAACCTGGCAAGATAAAGAATACACGGGTTGAACTTTTAAATCAAAATTTATCTATTTGTATGTAACGTGAATGAACTCTTTACAAGATGAGACATATATTTCAATTTTAATTAACTCTTTTCACAATTCAATAAAAATGACAATACGAACATACCAAACAACTTATACACATAACAATGCATTAAAGGTATAAAGAATTCAACAACAATAAACAGTATAGCACAAAATTACAACAGAAAGAAAAAACAGAAATACATATCAAAGTATGGGGGGGGGGAACAAAGGCCAAAGGCCTATCACAGGCTTGTCCCTGGAAATATTTCACTTACTTATCCCAGGTTTCCAGTTCCATCTGATCTTCAAACTTCCTAATGAACATCCTGATTATGGGTGCGTGGTTGTAGAAGGAGGCGTGGTGTATCGCCGCCCAGCCAGCGTTGTCTGCACTCACCATATCGCCATGGTTACTTACCATCAGGAGGGCAGAATCCAAGCTTCCGCTCTTGGCTGCTAGATGAAGGGGAGTGGTACCTATGATGACAGTCAGAGAAAGTAATATATTAATATTGAACAGAAAGGGTGGTATTCTGAAAATTAGGTTATCTTATATCCATATAGTAAAACAGTGTTATGTTGTTAACAAACTTGTCAACATTTAGGAAAAATCTTTGGTAAATACCTGCAAAAGAGACACTCACCCAAGCACCAATATTGTTCTTATACACAATTTTTTTTTTTAAACTGACAATCAATATAATTTTTCTGAAAAAAATGTAGGTTTAAGTACGTTTCAGAAGGTCAAAGTGATATCATATCTTATTGGTTCTATTGACTCTTAATTTACCTGTGCTTAGAAAAAGGTAGCTGAAACAATACTCTTTCATTCCTGATACTTATGAATTATTTAATTGATTGCGTTTTTCATTTAAGAAGTAGTATCTTATATAAGACTATCCTAAACCAATATTAATGATATCAACAAAAAAGTGTTATAAAGATCAGAGAAAGTCACTGTGCAACAAAATGATCCCTATAAAGAATAATTAATAAACCAAACACTTTCAAATTCCTGAAAAAAAATCAATAAATCACCAATTGGAGTGACCATGAATTATCCCATTAACCAAAATTGTGAATTTCTTTTTTCTACTGTGCATGGAAAGAAGAAGAGTGTCAGCTAGGATGTGAAAGGAATATTGACAACCTTTAATTGTCAGAATGGAATTGACTATTAAAACAAGGTAGAGAAGAGAAGTCAGTGATAGACATACCCAAACCTTAATTGAACCATAAGACAATCCACACATGATTTGGTTTTGTTTTAAATCTAGAGAATACAGATCTTTACATTGTGATCACTACCGTCTCTAAGTCTTCTGAACAAATATGTCTTCATTGTTTCGACGGCTACGAAACACTTTTTGACGGTAAATGATTTAAAATAAAATAAAGAAAAACCCAAAACAATGAAAATTCAAAACAGGAAAGAAGAAACTTTAAACCTTCTCAAGGAGAGGAATGAAAAGGTTGTAACGAAACTACAATACATGTTCATTCAGAAAAAGATAAAGAGAGAGTTTGACATAGATAGAGATATGAAAAAGACAGGGAAAAGCAAGAGAAGATAGATCAATGAGAATGAAATAGACCCTCCAACTTTGCACCAAAAACTTCAAGTGCAATACAAATAAGAATTTACCCCCAAGAAGAGTTCTTCTCGCTGTTCAATCATGAACATTTTAATGGAAATAAAAACAGGTCATGAATGTTTTTTTAAGTTAGAAAATTAGAAGTAATGATTAACTTTTGTACAAATACATGAATTTGTTAGAAAAGTCAGATGCATAAAAATACAAACATACATGTATGGAACTATGAGATTTCGTGACACAATTTCACCACAAACAAGTATATATTTGGGGAAAATGGTAAGCTGAACATATACACTTTTCCTTTCTTTTTAATGAACCCCAGCTATGCACTTCATAGTACAAAGTATAAGTTCAGCTGAGAGGAAGCAGTTTCATTGACTGAAACATGACACATGGGGAACAAGACATGCATAGTAACTAGGGAGCAAACTAGCACATCAATTCACAAATTTTATGCGTAGTACCTAGCCATAATTGTTGATTGTATTTGCTTTTTGTTTGTTGTGAAGAGCAGAGTTTCATACAATGATCATATAAGCCTCTTTGAAAGTGCAATTTGAAATGTACTTTAAATACCTGTTACAGCTCTTTCAAACATGACACAGGAAACTTTGGTATTTTTTTTAAACATTGAGGGGATCAAAGTAAGAAGGACTTACCTTCACTTAGTTAAATGGGAAGTCAAGGGTGTATTAAAAGGCCGGTCTTCATCAGCTTGAGATTGCCAAATATCCCACTATTTGAATTATCCTGATCGCAAATTATCCAGTTAGTTTGCTTCTTCATCAGCCCAAAGTTGCAATTAGCAGAATATTTGGTCAAGATCCCAAAATATCTTGGGATAGTTTGCAAAATATCCCGCTATTTGTCCGGTGCGTCTTCACCAACCGATAGACTCGCACTATGCACGAACCCTGAGCAAAATATCTCGAGCTAATTTCTCGAGCTTGAGTTTTAAGTTTCAAGGTCAAGTCTGAAGCTGATGAAGACGCGATTTGTAGGTTCGGGATTATTTCCCAAATCAGAAATAGCGGGCTATTTGGCAATCTTGAGCTGATGAAAACAGGCCTAAAGTTACTGATAGTAAAAGTAATCAAATCTATCAAACAGAAAGTTAAACTTTTAGGATATTCAGCTCATTAACAATGTAAGAACCAGTGGTCACTTTGAAGGAATACCTTAATTTGTTTTAGTAAAACGAGAAGAGGAATTGGGGGATCTGGTTATTATACAGCTGAAGCTACAAAAGTAGAGAGTCTCAATGAAATCTATAGAACTTGGAAAAGAGGCTGTTACAAAGCTATGTGATAACAATGACTTGAAGAAATAAGAGGGAGGGGGGGGGGGGCAAGAAAAACTATTTTAATTTAAAAAACAAATGAAAATGCAGCAAATCACTTCAGGAAAATCAAGATGATTAACAAACTAACAAGGAACTGAACAGAAGTCAATTTAGTAAAAATCAGAAGAGGGAGGGGGGGGGGTATAAAAAAAAACAGCTTAAATGCAGCAAATTCACTCCTTTTTTTTTTTACAAGATATTTAGTTGATAAAAGCAGAGGTCATTTTGGAGAGGGATACAAGATCGGGTTGAGGGGACTACAAGGCTAGCTAGCTAACAGCGGATCATCTATGTGATTGACTTACCTCCACAAATACTTGCTAAACTAGATGGAACTTCGACTGCGCGCAGTCGAAAATGATGCCTCCGTCATAGAGCAATTTTACAAACCAAAACAGAAGAAATTTTTCAAATTCAAGTTCAATTGTAATCCATTAAGAGGTTCTCAGAATATCATGATTACAAGCAATTTCTCATATACATATATGACCCTTTGATCTTTGACCTGATGACCCTAAAATCTACTCAGTTCATTGGCTCTGCAAGATGTCCTGAGTTAAATAGTAATCCATCTGTCAGTTCTAATGAGAATGCGTTCACAAGTTATTTTTGGATACATAATGAGCCCATGACCTTTGACCTCATGACCCATGAATCTACTCAGTTCATTGGCTCTGCAAGATACATACATGATCGAAATTAGGCAGGAATCCATCAATCTGTTCTAATGAGAATGCGATCACAAGCTATTTTTGCATACATAATCAGCCCTGTGACCTTTGACCTTTGACCTCGTGACCCCAAAATCTATTCAGTTCATCGGCTCTGCAAGATACATACATGACCAAAGTTTGGCAGGAATCCATCGATCGGTTCTGGAGATAATGCGATCACGAGCTCTTTTTGCATACCTAATGAGCCCTGTGACCTGTGACCTTTGACCTTGTGACCCCAAAATCTAATCAGTTCATCGGCTCTGCAAGATACATACAAGACCAAAGTTTGGCAGGAATCCATCAATCGGTTCTTCAGATAACGCGATCACGAGCTGTTTTTGCATACATAATGAGCCCTGTGACCTTTGACCTTTGACCTTGTGACCCCAAAATCTAATCAGTTCATCGGCTCTGCAAGTAACATACATGACCAAAGTTTGGCAGGAATCCATCAATCGGTTCTTCAGATAACGTGATCACGAGAACGGGACGTACGGACGGACGGACGGACGTACGGACGTACGGACGTACGGACGGACGGACGGACAACCCGAAAACATAATGCCTCCGGCTACTTCGTAACGGAGGCATAAAAACAGATGAGAAGTGAACCAACAGATACATGATACAACAAGATGATGATGAAAGAAAAATGATGAATTATAATGATAGTGACAATGTGTGAAAGGAGAAATCCACAACATTTGGAAACAAGCTAAACGTCAACTTGAAAAATATGTATCTCAATTTAATAATGCCTCTGGCACCACAGTTGGTGGGTGGAGGCCTAAAAGTCCCCACAACCTCATTCAAATAAATATTCTGGTACATTCATTTTCATAATTTTGTTTTTACAATGAATTATAGTATGCCTTGATTTCCTAAGTTTGGTTTTGATTTGAGGATAGCACAGGAATACTTTGGCCATGGAGACATACAGGGGCCTACAAATACTGGGGCATGAGGTGAGAGGAATACCATTGCCCCACCCTGATAGACAAAAGATTGGTCCTGTTTATGAACATGATTTCAAACATGGTTTAATAAATCCAGGGTCTTGTTCATCTCTTTGAAAAGACATCAGGGGGATGTTTCACAAAGATCCTAAGTTGGACTTAACAATTATGGAAAGCTGTTAGCATCTTTGAAAACAATTTGTAAAAGTTCATTTTAAAGGCATAACATGTTGATTCAAATCATTCATATTTTCTATTATCAAGGAGATTTCATGTTCTTGATGTGAGATTTATGAAAAGTCTAAAATACTTAAATTTTTGCTTTTGAATATATTTTATTTTAAGGCTACAAATGGCTCTCCATAATTTCAAAGTTCAACTTAGATTAAGTTCGACTTAGGATCTTTGTGAAACACCCCCCTGATCATTTGGATAAAATACTGTATAGGATTGCATTTTCTGCTCTCTCTCTCTCTCTCTCTCTCTCTCTACATTGTAATACCAAGAAACTTTCCAACAGGACAGCAGCAAAGAAATATGATTGTTAATTGATGGTAATTATCATGAATCTACTTTGTAAGGGTAAATGAATCTCTCCTTTATAAAAATGCTATTGAAATCAGAAACAAGGATGAAAATGAATTTGAATACTTGAAAAGAAAGAAATTCAATTAACCAGAGTATGAATGATCAGTAGTATTTATTTGAAGAAAAAAAAATCAAGATCTGTTCAAAGATGTGTACAAAGGAAATTATTCTATTCTATTCTATCAATGAATCAAACAGACAATGAATGCTGTTTTATGGAGATTGGAAGATTGATTGGGCAATCGATTTAAATCAATCCCAGCTGTTTATATTAATGGGATCGTTAAACAATGTTTAATCTGAGATGCACGGCCCTACATGTTTTCAGTGTCTGTGATATGGAGTTATATTGAGGCCCACCCCCCAAAAATGATCAAGAAGTGCCTCAAAAAAGTAAAAATGTTTGAGTGACCGGTTTTACCATACTCGTTTTCCCCAATAGACTGCAGTGTTATGAAAACCGTTTGGCAAATGCAAAATTTGATTTCGATTTTCAATCATAAATATCTTGATAATCAGACAGGCAATCAGCTTGTAAAAGATATGGGGTTCCTGACTGACCTAAAGGTTTATAATTATCATTGCAGCATGAGCTATATATCAAGGATTTTTTAAAGGATCTAAGACAAAGCTAACAGATCCCTTTAAAGAAAGGGCCTAAATGCTGCTGTATGCTACATGAATACTCCATATTCTAACATCAAATCTCTAGATATGTGAAGAAGAAGGAAAACAAACTATTGTTGATGAGCATTGCTGAATTTGGAGAAGTTTAAAAAAGGTCTTCATAGACATCAACCGATTACAGCCTTATTCAGTGAAACCTGTCTATAGCGACCGCCCAAGGGAGACAAGAAAAGTGGTCTTAACAAACAGGTGGTCTTTATGTACAGGTTCTTTTAGTTCTTGTTTCAATGAGAAATCATTTTCAATGGTAACAAAAAAATGTGGTCCTTGTGGACAGGTGGTCACTAAAGCAGATTTGACTGTAATAAATTCCTTCTGCTTCTAACTATTCCCTTACCAACTTGCGTAGTGAGATGATGCCTTCTGACGCTGATGTCTTGACCTTGGATCATAAGAAGTTGGAGGATCTGAGGCCGGTTGTGAAGCGCCGCGTAGTGGACCAGCGAGTATCCATCCTCGTCTTGGTTCCCTAGCCGGGAGGCTGGACATTTGCGGGCAAGGGTCTGGAATACGGAGACTAGGCCTCGGATAGCTGCTTGCCTAAGACCATTTTGTAAGGACTGGGATTGCAGGAATAAACAACGTGAAATGCATTATCGTTTATCTCAGATGCAAGGCAAGTCTGGAATGCAGAGACTAGGCCTCTGGTTCCTGACTGATAGCTCCATGCGGATGATGCCCTAGCTAAGATGATTGATAACTTGAAAAACTGCATCAAATTTCACCACCATTATCATCATCTGCATAAACAAAATCACCATTATCATCCACCTCCTCATCAGCAGCATCAGTATCGAATCAACCCTTTCTCTCACAATTCGTCTCTTAAAGGTACTACAGGTGTAGGTCCCTTTTGCAGCCAACATCAAATTCTGTAGAACTTTACAGGAATTATGAATATGTCATGTATACTCCTATCTGTGAATTTAAACGTTAGCAGTGTCCTAGTATTCAAATTATGCAAGGAAACTTAAAGAGTATTTACTGACCTTGAACTTGATGGCTTGATGGTAGCCATACCTCCTCTTGAACTGTTCATGCATGTGGATATCAGTCAAGGGTAACCTCTTGGGTTTCAGATCCTTGATCTTCTCATAGAAGGAGTGACACCACAGCGGGCGTGGCGGAGAGACCGGGTAGTAAGTCTCAAGGTCCATGGAGAACACGTAGTACCTGCAATGATAATGGATTAGTTTGTTCTTTGTCATTTGTTTATGTACACTGTATCGTTTTACTGTACCATTTCTGGTCCCTATGGAAGACCAGCAGCATCATAACGATACTGCTGAATATGGGCTATCCAGCAGTTTATTTTATCTTGTAATTCATAATTCTATTCGTTATTGTTTTACTGAATGCATGTTGTCTTTTTTTATATGGAAAATAAAACAAACAAACAAGTATGATAGTAAGATTGGAGACATATATACAGCATATATCTTGTTCACACTTTCATTACTGAATATCTCTCAAGTTAATCTAGCATGTCATGCACATATTGAACATAAACAGTGATGGTATCCCCCTCTCCCCCTCTCCCTCCCTCCCTCCCCCCTTCCCTCCTCCTCCTCCTCCTCGACCTCCTTGACCTCCTCCTCCTCCTCCTCCTCCTCCTCCTCCTCCTCCTCCTCCTCCTCCTCCTCCTCCTCCTCCTCCTCCTCCTCCTCCTCCTCCTCCTCCTCCTCCTCCTCCTCCTCCTCCTCCTCCTCCTCCTCCTCCTCCTCCTCCTCCTCCTCCTCCTCCTCCTCCTCCTCCTCCTCCTCCTCCTCCTCCTCCTCCTCCTCCTCCTCCTCCTCCTCCTCCTCCTCCTCATCATATTCAGAGAAATCCAGAGGGGTATGGAGAGGGCATCACCCCTCCCCACACTCACTTCTTTCCACCCAGCTCTTTGACAACCATAGGATAAGACTCCTGGAATGTGTCTGGCTCCGTCAGCTTGGAACTCAAGAACTCAACTATCCCTTTAAGATGATCACTGTCATTATTATCTTTATTATCATCACCACCCCTCCCCACACTCACTTCTTTCCACCAAGCTCTTTGACAACCATAGGATAAGACTCCTGGAATGTATCTGGTTCCGTCAGCTTGGCCAATCTCTCTGTTGCTTCCAGCTGGATCTTGTTGTAATGGTTGACGATCACCTCCGGGGGCTCCAGGATCTCGTCGTCCCCTTCAATGTCGATCTGGATGCCTCCATGGAGGTGAAAGTACTTGTTGCCAAAGTCAAAGTTGGGACAGCGGAAGTCTGGGGCTAGCATCATAGGTGGGAGCTCCCTTTCTGTCTTGCACTCATCCGCTATCATGAAAAAACAAGGCATTCATTAAAGGCATCGTTGAACAATGTTAAATCTGAGATGACAGCCCTACATGATATCATTGTCTGAGATGTGGTGTAATATTGAAGCCCTAAAAAAAAAAAAAAAAAAAAAAAAATCTTTGAGTGACCGGTTTGTAATGTGTAATTTGTAGAAGTTTTAAAGCTGCTTCAAGAAAGAGACCATGTTTTATTTTTTACAAAAAGCCAATCTTAATTCTGTGTTCAGCGGATGAGTTGGACTCATTGATGAGTTGAAACGGAAATCTGGATATATGCATGGGAACTTGTTCATTCTCTATAGTCCCATTGAAAGTATTTACAGTTACCGAGCCAGTTGATATTAATGCAGTTTTACTCAGGATAGGATCATCAGTATTAATACTACTCTTGTTGAGGGCTCAGCAATCATATAACCAAACTTTAGTATAGCCCCAATAATAAGGTTCTCAAGCATGCAAGTATTTTTCTCTACTAGGTACAGTAATCTCTTGCCAAAAGATATTCTAGAGCCATGGCAGGGATTTAAACAGAGTACCTTGTGCTTCGTGGTCAAGTAACTTATCCACTAGATCATGACACTACCAATAGAAGATATGATAATTACCTGTAAGTTGAGGTAGAAGTCTAGACATGTCTGGAACTTTGTTCTTTCTTCTCAGTCCCATCAAGAATGGAACGAGAAAGCTTACTAGCTTTAGAAGGGACATCTGACGGCGCACCTCAGCTTTGTTGCACAGGTGTTTCTCTATCACATCTACATGAGCCTGGTGAGGAAGAATACAACACACATTGTAGGAATCAATTTCAAGATACCACAACCAGTGTTAAAAAATGGTGTTTCGTACGGCTTTTCTTTCATTTGCCATTATAAAAAATGATATTTGCTTGTAGCTATTTTTATACATTTTTGCATTACAAGAGCTCTATCTTTGTTGTTGTTTTCCAAAGGCCTCACATGCTTCTATTTCGTTATCTTTTTTTGCACTGACTATTATTTAACATACCAGTAACTTGGCATTTCAAATGATGTGAAAAGACATTAATCTACATTTGCCACTCTCCACCCAGGTGTTAAATGGGTACCGGTAGAAAGAAATTCCTCGAATGCTGTGAGCGCCAAAATCGGCTGCCTAGCAGAGCCCGGTAATATTGGAGGGCCTTGAGCACCTGGAATGGTGGATATGTGCACTATATAAATATCTGATATTATTATTATTATTATAAAACAGAAACATAGAATGGTATAATTTGCCAAAATGTCATCTTTTCATGCCATATTTCTATGTATTTCTACCCATCTCAGTCATTATGAAGATCTAAATCAATCCTAGATGTCAATACAATGCAAATAATAAAAAAATCCTTCTATTCTAGTTTCATTACATCCATTCTGCTACAAATTACTTTATTACCAGCCCACATATACTTTACTGATCTTTTGTTTTTAAGTGGCCCAAACATTGTGGAGCATGTGTGCAGCGCTTTGTAACTGCAAGAAAAAGGTGCTATATCAAATATCTTTTGGATTGGATTGGATTACCTGTAATCTGGTCTGCAGTCTCTCGTATACATCACGGTCTGTCCTGTCCTCATGCAGCCTGAGTGCTCCTGAAACCTCATAGGCTGCATCAATCACAAACATGTTATTGTGCTGCTGGACAGTCTTCTGTCTCCAGGTCAGTTGAACAGTCATGTCATTGACGTACTGCATGAAGAGACGCTTGTCAATGTTGGCGTCGTGCTTGCTCATGGGGAAGAGTCGCATTTTATCGTAGATGGTGGCATAGTCAGGGTCCTTCGTGATGTCGATCATTCCTGGGGAGAAAGAAAAATGTTACAGCTGATGGAAGAATAACAAATCTATTGCATGATCGAGCGTCGTAAGAGCAGATTTTGGAGGAGCAATGTTGTAGGAGCAAATGTTGTAGGAGCAAATGTCGTAGGGGAAATTGTTTTAGGAGTAAATGTTTAAGGAGTAAATGTTGTAGAAGCAAATGTTGTAGGAGCCAATGTCGTAGGAGCACTTGTTGGAGGAGTATATGTTGTAGGAGCAAATGTCGTAGGAGCAAATTTTGTAGGGGCAATTGTTGAAGGAGCAAATGTCGTAGGAGCAAATGTCGTAGGAGTAAATGTTGTAGGAGCAAATGTCACAGGACGAAAGTGGTAGGAGCAAATGTTTTAGGAGCAAATGTTTTAGGAGCAAATGTTTTAGGAGTAAATGTTGTAGAAGCAAATGCTGTAGGAGCAAATGTCGTAGGAGCACTTGTTGGAGGAGTATATGTTGTAGGAGCAAATGTCATAGGATGAAAGTCGTAGGAGCAAATGACGTAGGAGCAAATGACGTAGGAGCAAATGTTGTAGGGGCAAAAGCTGTAGAAACAAATGTCGTAGAAGCAAATGTTGTAGGGTCGAATGTTGTAGGGTCGAATGTTGTAGGGTCAAATGTTGTAGGGTCGAATGTTGTAGGGTCGAATGTCGTAGGGTCGAATGTTGTAGGGTCGAATGTTGTAGGGTCGAATGTCGTAGGGTCGAATGTTGTAGGGTCGAATGTTGTAGGGTCGAATGTTGTAGGGTCGAATGTCGTAGGGTCGAATGTTGTAGGGTCGAATGTCGTAGGGTCGAATGTTGTAGGGTCGAATGTTGTAGGGTCGAATGTTGTAGGGTCGAATGTTGTAGGGTCGAATGTCGTAGGGTCGAATGTTGTAGGGTCGAATGTTGTAGGGTCGAATGTTGTAGGGTCGAATGTCGTAGGGTCGAATGTTGTAGGGTCGAATGTTGTAGGGTCGAATGTTGTAGGGTCGAATGTCGTAGGGTCGAATGTCGTAGGAGCAAATGTTGGAGGAGTTAATGTAAGAGTAAATGTTATAGGAGCAAAAGTCGCAGCCGCAATCGCACCTCTGGGACCACTCCTTACTCACCTGCTAATGTGAACTCTGTAAGGATGATCTTCTTTGATTCAGGGATGCCCTCAGCATTGAGGTCCAGGCTCGAGCGCCAGCGCTCTGAGAACTTGGTGCGTTTATCTCTAGGGAAGTACGTCCCATGCCACAATGCTTTCATCATATAGTCCACGTTGGTCAGGAGCTGACCCACGTAGGTGTCATTGTAGGCAGGTGGTAGCTGGCAGGAGGTGCTCTGGTCAAAGTTAGCTTCTAGGCTGATTGAGGGTACCTGATAATAATAATAATAATAATAATAATAATAATAATAATTTATTTATTTATTTATTATTTATTCGGCAATTCACAAAAAAATATAACAATGTAAATATGAGTAAACAAACATTAAGAGAATGTTAATCTTAAATTAACAATCTTCCTGGAGATCCTCTGAGTGCATCAGTTGGCTGCCGGGAAAAGGAAAGCAAACTAAATCACTGTAACCGTATTGGTCCCTCTTCCTGACCAACTGGTGCACCCAGAAGACCTGCAAAATATAGCATGAAGGTAGTTAAAATGTATAACATTTCATAAAAAAACCAGCTAACAAAAACAATATTGGATATTTATGTAGTGCACATATCAACTATGCATGGTGCTCAAGGCATTCCAACTAATTACCCCGGCTCTGCTAGGCAGCCGATTTTGACGCTCACAGCATTGAAGGAATTCCTTGTAGCAAGGATAGGGAAGAGTCATTATTGTACTTTAGAAATGTGAAAAACTAATAACATCATTGGAGAGAGTGCTGGAAAGTCTTCTCCTGCTACTTTCATTATATTAAAACAAACATGAAGATAGTTTCTTATTCAAAACAAAACTACAAATACATAAATAAACAAATAAATATTTTAATCATTCACTTTATATCTCCTTCTCTCTCTCTCTCTCTCTCTCTCTAGCACACACTTATACATCATTCTGTTATCTCTATTCTTCAACCTATCTACAGTATCAAGATGCAAATTATCAATATCAATTATTCTTTCTCTCCCTCTTAAGGGGTACATATTAAAAACAAAAATAATGATGAGTTTTTGCAAAGAAAATTAAAGTACCAGCGAGATACAGTGGTTTTTCAATTGAAAACAGTTATTAAAGAAAGGGAGAAAAAAAAAAGGGAGAAATATAATGAGAAAAGAAATCAGAAAGAGAAGTAGAAGGTCAAATGATCAGAGAGAGAGAGAGAGAGAGAGAGAGAGGGGGGAGAGAGAAAGAGAAAGTGAAAAAGCAAGAAAATGAGATAAAGATACAAAAGAAGCAAGAGGAGACTGAGATAAAGAAACAAAGTAAAACAAAAAAGGAAAAAGAAGGGAAAAGAGAAAGTGGGAAAAGATTGAGAAAGAGACATACCTGGTTTAGGCCATAGATGCCCATCACAAGTTCTCTGATGATCTGGTGTACGAGCCGAAAGTCGATAGCTTCCACCGTGGGGTCAAAGGGCATCAGAATCAAGCAGTTGTTATTATCAAAGGGTTTACTGGTCATGATGATACCGTTGGGTGCTTCTGCCTGCAGCTTGTGCTCATCCTGATAAAAGTCACAAACAAATATGTGGAATGTACTTTAATAGTAGTAGTAGTACATGTAGTAGTAGTAGTAGTAGTAGTAGCTCTATACAGAGCAAATTTATTTTTCATTTCTTTTCACATAATATAAACAATGACAAACAATAATAAACGTAATGATATAACAGAAGTGAGCATCTCTGACATTGTTTTTGGTCATCGTAATGCAAAATGACTTGGTTACAAGAAATGAAAAAAAACGAACCTACTTGAAAGCAATGCTTGTTAGGTGTCGGTTCGCACATTAATAATTAAAATGTTTACATTTAAAACTTAATTTTGAGAAAAAAAATTATGGAATAAAAAAAAACATGACAGACAATAAAGTCAACTTTTTTTGTTTGTTTTGTTGGAGGAGAGGGGGGGGGGGGGGATTGGGGAGGAAGTTGGGAGGGGGTCTTAACTGTTTTTCTATGCCATGTTGTTTTATAATAAATAATAGTTATAATAGGCATTTCTATAGCACCGTCAATCTAAAAATTCTGTTCCGAGGCACATTTATTATAATCCCGCCTTTAGCCTAGCTGCCATTACAGCGCTCCAGCATGTCTAGGAATTAATTCTTGCCAGGTAACCAATTACTTCACCTGGGTCGAGTGTGGCAAATGAAAATTAATGCCTTGCCAAAGGACATAAGTGCCGTGTACGGGATCGAACCACAACCTCTGAACATCACGTCAAGTGCTTAAACCACTCGACTACGACACATCCACGATTCATCATTTAAAGGTACTATGTCCCTTATGCAGCCAAAATCAAATGCTGTAGAACTTTGCAGGAATTATGAATATGTCATGTATGTCCTATCTGTGAAATTTAAGCGTTAGCAGTGTCCTCATATTCAAATTATGCAAGGAAACCTGTTTACTTGCTAGACTTCACTGTCAGACACTATTGAGTGACTGACTGGCTTTTTTTCTTCTTTGGTAATAACATACATGAAAAGAGTTGTAAAGGGTACATGAGCATTGTCTAAATCAATAACCCACTTCTTGTGATGGCCAAGATTAAACTGATTGCATCTTTGCGCAGCATAAAACGTATGACCATTCGGTACAATTGTCTAAAAATCAAGACTATTACTTTTGGGCTCTATAGCCCTAAAGTCGATTAGACAACTAATAGTCGTTATTTTCCCACTTGAAGACACTTTCAAGCCCCACCTTTTTTAGGGAAGTTCTAAATTAGTATTATCTTTCAAATGCAGTTGGAATTTAACTTTTTCATTTTTGGGCCTGCAAATGGGACATAGTACCTTTAAAGACACTCATGTAGTAGTCAGCTCTCATAGGGAATTTGACACCGTTCGGTTGTTTACCCAACAACAGATGTTGTCAATCACCGGGGTTAGCCTTGAGTTTTATGACCATTAAACCTTATGTAATGCTTGCTTTTCCCTCACCGAGTCACTCTCGAGTATTCGCCGAGAGATAAAGGGGGAATTCTTGACTGGCCAACAGGTTTGCTGTGTGCAGATTTGTACTCTAATCAATGGTATTTCCACCAAGTCTGGTGTCAGCGAATTATGGCCTTCTGCCCATGGAAACCGACGCGCGACTCCCTTTAAAAGTTTGTTAATGAATTGGCCTACATGTTTATGTACCGGTTATTGTACATAAATGAAATCTTTATACATGTACCTGTGACAAGAACCAATGGTAGGAAGTCTGGGCTAGCATTTCTTGCACCTCAAAGCGGTCATACTTTTCAAAGAACTGAGCTGCCATGCGATTGGCCGTGGCGTTGGCCACAAGGGTGGGGTCCACTTCACCTGCATGGAGGTTGGTGTCTGCTGCCTTGCCTGACATCTTTACAATTACGGTACCTGAAATTCAGAGAAAAAATTCCGACAAAAATCCTCAATAGTGTCTGTTCATGCAGAGCTAAAAAGAGCATTCAGTCTGCATTGAAATCTCCACACAAACAATAATTTGTATTATACATTGGGTGAACCTGGATTAGGAAACAGTGTCATATTTACATTTTCAAAAGCCTTTAAAGTATAAAAGCAGCATCAAGTTTAAGAAAATAAATACCAGTATTTAAAAATATCAAATTATGTGAGACAGGTTTATCAAGCATGGTGCCAATTTTCATTCTTCATTTTGATACATTGTTCTATCATCCATATATAGTCATTTCAAACTTCATTAACCTTTAAAAAAAAAAGAGACAAATTTTCCACCACTAAGCCAAATTCAATTGCTTATTTTGAATATGTAACCATACTTCACAATTCATTGACCGGTTTTGAATTTTAAGAAAAAAAAAGGGGATAGTGGGTTGCGGGCGAGCGCGCCTGTGTGAAGTTATCTACCGTAATGAGGATCTGAGACATTATGGTAGATAACTTCACACAGGCGCGCGCCCGCCCGCAACCCACCATCGTTATGCACTTGTATTGTGCAGCGGTTTGCCGTGAAACCTGTGAAAAAGTGTATACTAATAATCAATGTTTTTCCGAAAAATACTCCAAAAATAACTAGAAAATTGACACGAAACAGGTAATAATAGGGTGTCTGAACGATTTTTCAATTTGGGATCGTTTTTCACCATTTTTGTTTGATATTTGAATAAAAAATGTAATCAGAATAATACATTTCAAATTTCAAGTCTCACCGATGTTTCTATCAAAAGATACAGCCCCTCCAGAACGCTGCAATATTCATATACGCAGAGTTATGTTGTTTTGCTAAATTTAGCCAAACAGCTGTATCGCGCAATATGCAAGCGTATGCATACCGTACGCATGTTATGTGCAACTTGCAGCTTGAGCCACGTTGTCTCAGCGATATGTGCCATTGACTAGTATGGCTAGCCGTTCGCACAATAAACCTGGAAGTGAATACACGTTAAAGTCAATGGCAATATCGCGGAGACAACATGCATGTTGTCTCCGCGATATTGCCGCTTGCATATCGCGCAATACAGCTGTTTGGCTAAATTTATCAAAACAACATAGGTCTAACTCTGCTTGTACGTCTTTTTTTCGTCGATTCTGATCAAAATGCTATTATTCCAGCATTTTGGAGGGGCTGTATCTTTTGACTGAAACATCGGTGAGACTTGAAATTTGAAATGTATTATTCTGATAACATTTTTTATTCAAATATCAAACAAAAATGATGAAAAACGATCCCAAATTGAAAATTGAAAAATCGTTCAGACACCCTACATCTAGGTATCGCAACGCCGGAGTTACAGGTCAAATTTTGGATAGGCTTCTAAGTTCTAAACAAGCCCAAGCCGCGGCAAGCACCCAAAATTAATTACCAACACTTTTATTTTAATTAAAAAAATTAAATTTTAAATTTGTTTTTCAATTCACAAAAGTAGCCCTAGGAGAGCACTGCTAATGGTAATTGTAAGATTTAAAATAGTCTAGGCCTACTCTTAAATTTAACTTGAAAATATTTTCAAAATAAACAAATGATGAGCTTCCAAATCAACTAGATTTGTACTTGTACTGCCACAGCTCACACACATTGACATTCACACACGTACACAGCTATCTCCACAGCACAGCCGTGGGACTGCCGACGGCTGGGATGCCGCAACTAGCCCGCCGACTTGCTCGAAGTGTCTGTTACCACCACCGTCGCTACGTGATTTCCTGTGACAAGACAGTGCAGCGCGACGTCCTTGTCAATAACTGCTTACCTTCTACGTTGAAATGTCGGTTTTCTTTCTACATTCTGTCATGTCGTCATCATGAAGCAAATTAGCGCTAAAACAATCATGGGATTTCCATCGAGGAATTCTAAAAATGTGAACAAGTCCTCGGTAAAAGTTGTTGATACGGCGTCAAGGCGAGTAGGTCACAGGGGGAAAAGGTCAAATTTGACGATCAATTAATACATTACAATCAAGACGTTAATCATTTTTCTCTAAACACTAAAAAAATACTCCAAGGTCGAGCGTGGTTGCAATGCACCGAATCGAGAAGTTTTACACTCATCCATCTCATGATAATACGGGTATTAATAATTTAGAAGATGTATTGCTTTGTCTGATATCGACACATGTAGGCCTATTTTTGCCCTTCACTCTCTTGGTTATATCCAAATAGTCCCCTGGTCTGAGAAGGAGACTACTAAGTACTAAAAATAAAAAACATGGATGCCTCCATATCGAAAACGAGCATGCACTGAGCTGATCAAGTTTATGCGATGCGATGAGCCGATGATCGAAGAGCCACACCCGACAAAGTCAGAAGTAATCATTGTAGATCTATCTGAAATAATTTGGTGAGTGATTGCAGTATATTCGAAATTTGAGGGGAACAGGTCAGTCAAGTCAAGTCAAAGTTTGAGCACAATCCGATTAAAAAGAATAGAGAGTAGGCCTAAAGGAGCCCGTAATCGGCCAGCTCCAGTTTTCGGCCGATTGGTTGGATGCAAGGTAAAATCACTCTAAAATACATCGCATAATAGCATAACACATATCCCACACATACCATACCATGCCAGTGTCACTGAAGAACCACATTTGCAATGGAAAATATATCCTAAAATATCACATTTTGGCGATGTAATCGCCGGTCCCGCTACCCAAATCTGAAAAATGGAGTAGTCTATCTTACGCGTGTCTGTAAGAAATATGGGTACCATAAAATTAGCTTTATTTCAAGTATTTTTCAGATTTAAAGCCCGATTTTGTGCTAGTCGCAAGCTCAAAAGTATGTCATCGCATGTATTAAATCAATGCAGCCGCACACCGCGACGCACACACGATATCTCTGTCTAATTCAGATTCCAACTTCCGATCACCGCTGTGCCTGTCTTCGGCCAGGCGAGCACCAGGGAGCTCCGGCGTGGGATACCTGCTCCGCCCGCTTGTGCTGTACATCAGCGCGGAAACGCACGGCGCGCGCGAGCGCTCCCTATTGACTTTGTACATGCGGCCGTAAACTGAAACGCTCGGCCGATAACGGGCTCCAAAACAGTGAAAATTGAAATGAATATTGTCATGGCAATTCGTGATTTTTTTCTGGGATTCTTTTTTTGTTTAAATAATAATAATATTTGCTTCATGATTTGAACAAGAAATGATAATAAATAGGAAGTAAAGAGTCCTAAAAATAGGATTTTGTCTTAAGTGGCCGAAAACGGGCTCCTTTACTCGACTCTAACTTTAAAGTTATGAATTCTCTTGAACTGTTGAAGTTGCAATCAATCAAACACAAATTGGCAATTACTTTCACAGTTTCTCTGTGTATGTTGCATGGTCCTCTCCACCTTGCTCCCTACCAGTAGGGGCGCTGGGCCGAGAATGAGGATCGATCATCTGCATAAACAAGGATATCTTCATAAACATGGACAAATTGCTTCCAAAACAATAAAATCATTTTTTGCGGGTTTTTTTTTACATCGGTGCTCTGCGGGTTTCAAGGTTCCTGAACCGCACGCTGGCGATGCGAAAAATTGATTCCACGTAAGACAAAAACCCCAGTTCACCGTCTACTTTTATGGGTTGTCCATCTTCCTGAGGATTTATCGCTCATAACGTGAAAGTCGATATCTGTACAGACTGGAGAAGTCTAGATTCTAAATCTACAAAGTCAATGGAAAATGCATCAAGAAAATCATCGCGGAATCCGTTTTTCATGTCGCCAATATGCGGAATCGGAAATATGAAACGTACTGTGAAAATGCGGACGTTTACGCAGACGATCTTTATTCTCAGGCCAGCACCCCTACTGGTTATACTTAGTCTATAGAGGTATAGTTATAATGCAAGCAGCAAGGCAACAATATATGTACAATTTAAAGAAGGACATTTTGGCCAATATTTTTTTCCATGGCATTAAGGCCATGTGTGGTGTGGTGTTTTTATCCAGACACTTGTGCTGTTCAGCCAAATTGGCCATACACGTGCCTAGATTACACATAATTATAGTCACGTTACTGTGATCGAGTTATTACTTGAATATTTTCTATCTATCATCAGAAGTGGATGAAAGTTGACCCAAAAATGCTTGCACCGACCATCTCTACCTGCAAAGCGCCTGTCTTGCATCTCCTTCAGCGATGCAGACGTCCTACATTATTATCCAACCTCACCAAGCAGCTTGGCAGACATCATGAGAGGCACAGTCATAGCAGGCTGGTGCTGGGGATTGAGACGACGTGTGATGATACAGGAGCTGCTGTGATGGATGAGACCGGGAGGGTCCTCGCTGAAAGACTGCATACACAGAAGAGGATCCATGCCAAGTAAGGCCTGGGCCTCATTTCATAAAGATCCTAAGTAGAACGTAACTCTAAGTTTGGCTTAACAATTAATGGAAAGCTGTTGTCATCTTTTGACATATTTTGTAAAAGTTATTTTAAAAGGCATAAAATGTTGATTTAAATCATTAATATTTTCTATTACCAAGGAGATTTCATGTTCTTGTAGTGGAATTTATAAAAGGTTTAAAATACTTGATTTTTTGCTCTTCATACATGTATAAGGCTACAAATGGCTACCTACATAATTTTTAATTCCAACTTAGAGTTAAGTTCAACTTAGAGTTAAGTTTGACTTAGGATCTTTGTGAAACACCCCCTGGTTCACTTCAATTCAGAATATTCCACTTTTTTCAAACAATCAAAGTTAAAGATAAACTTTAGTACTGGTAATGCGATTGCATTGTGAAAGAAAAGGTGTGGAAAGGATCAGAAACAGTTGATCATGTAGCATGTAAGTATTGGTGTGCACTGCAAGGTTCTGGAGTCATCAAAATCATAATAAATTTGACCGAGTCTTGGTAAAGTAACAAGCACTCACATAGAAAGCTATATATGGGACAACACACATGGTGTCGGGGCTAGTACTACCTTGATTTCCTTGTCTTTCTATGCTCATTACTCAGCCAATATACATTTTCTTCCAAAATTGTTTGGCACATGTCATTTATTTGTAATCTTGAACATTCAGTGTAAGTTTCGTTTGATTCTGTGAGAATTTATTTTTATTTTTTTACCAGTACTGGAGTTTATCTTTAATGTATATTAAGTGCAGAAACATAATTCCTTTGACAGGATGTTTCCATTACAAATAATGTAAACACTTTTCCTAAATTTTCTTTATGCACTGCTATCTCTGATTTTGTAGTACAAATAATCTCTTTGTTTGGAGACTATTCAGAAGGAAAACGTTTACATTGCCTTGTAAGAAGAGTAAAAAACGCCCCCACCCCCCCCCCCCCCCCCCAAAAAAAGGGGAAAAAAAGAAGAAAGTCTCACCCATAGGTCTTTAGAAGTGCCTTTCAATGTTAGCTCAAAACGTGCTATGGGCTATACAAGATTGGAATATTAACCTGTGAAGCACTGAACTTCATCTTTCTCAATGGCTTAAAACCGCTACCATATGGTTTTAGGAGACAGTGGGCTAATATCATAATGATAATCTACACATTGATTGGCGCTTCCATCCAATATTGATTTGGTATCCACTTTAAACATCTTTTTCATCCAAAATGCCTCTCTTTTTTTTCCTTTTAGGAATGGAGGTATCATTCCGCCCCTAGCCCAAGCCCTTCACCGACAGTTCATTGACCCCGTGGTTCAAGGGACTATCGAGGATGCTGGGATTGAAATGAAGGTAAAAGGTCAACTTTTCATTCTAAAAAGATTCAGACTAATATCAAGAGCAGTGAATGAGGGAATTGTGAGGATTACCGGAGAAACAAAAGTTGGAGACAAAAATTTCAGTATAAGCTGAGGAAGAATGATCATTGTAAACCTTCTATTAGCTTCTATCGAGGCCAGCTCATTTTGATGATGATGTATATGTTTATGTTTCTTTATTATTACCTTTCTCTTTGTTTCCATCTAGGACCTGTCAGCAGTAGCACTAAGCACCATGCCTGGCATGCCTCTATCGTTACGGGTTGGGCTGGACTATACCAAGGATATGCTGCTCCGCCATCCTCATCTACCACTTATACCCATCCATCATATGGAGGCTCATGCCCTTACAGTTAGAATGGTAGAGAGGTATGATTCATACTTATCTCTCGTTTACCTTCCTTCAAAATGAATTTGTATATTATTAGAGGTTGGAACATGAGAAAGCTAAAATTCATATACTTCAGTTTCCCGTATCCTCGTTTCACTCAAATCCATCATTTTGAGAGTAATGTGTACGTGCATCAATGTTTTCAAGTCTTACAGGTTTCTTGTATTATGTTTGCAGAGTAGATTTCCCATTTCTGGTGCTTCTGGTTTCTGGTGGTAACTGCATCCTGGCTGTAGCTAGAGGAGTAGGGGATTTCAAGGTGCTTGGGGTGACGTGGGATGATGCCCCTGGCGAGGCATTTGATAAGGTAATAAATCCCCCCCCCCTTGTGATGTTTGACGATCTAATCTATTGTGAATTATCTTAAGAAAGTAGGATCCAACTTCATGTCATGTTTATGGGAATGAGCATAGTTGGAAATAAATTTTCTAATAATAACTTGTGACATTCAGAGTGTTTTTCTTTGTCAAAATTTTGACAGGCTTTGCATTGCTTAGAAGATTTTGATGATGATGGTCATGTGGTTGGTACAGATGCATACATGCCAACTGTTCAGAATAAAGAGGAACATTCCTCTTTTTGGGAGAAGATAATTATCATTTTAATGCAGGTGTTCCTCTTCCTGTACAAATTTGTCTGTAGTATTGAATAGGAGAGTTAGGATTGTTCCTCTTTTTTTTTAAAATAGCATAATTTGTACAGATTTCTGATTTTCAAATGTTGGCATGTATGCAGATGATGATGATGATGATGCCCTCTGATAATGATAAATGATGATGACATTGGTGAATATGATGAATGATAATGATGACAATAGATATAGACATGATGATGATTATGATGAGAATGCTACAGTGAACATGTATAATTCATATTTGTGTTTCCCCTCTGTACCCCCTTTCCCTATCAATCTCTCTCTTCTCTCTCTCTCTCTCTCCCTCTCTCCCTCTCTCTCTCTCTCCTCTCTCTCTCCCTCCCCATCTCTCTCTCTCCCTCCCTTCTTGCCTCCTTACCTCCCCCCCCCCCCTCTCTCTCTTTACTCCTATAGGTAGCTAGACGACTGAAGCTGCAACACCACCCTGACTGCCTAGGTCTGTGCGGAGGCCAAGCGATAGAGAAGATGGCTGAGAATGGCAACTTCAGGTTATTAATAGAGCGAGGGGTGCCTATGAGTAGACACAGGGATTGTAACTTCTCCTTCGCCGGTCTGAAGAACATGGCTAACTGGCTGATACAACATCATGAAGTCAGACAAGGTATGTCAAGTCTTGCATGTTCAGTTAACAACTAAAATATTAATACCTTTGGCAATTTGACGTTTATTATGATTTTTTTTGTAAATCAGGAATGAAAGATGGACTGGCTGAGTTAGACCGAGCCTTTGTTGAATAATTTTAGATGTAAGCTTTAATATCGTCCTTGTTTTCACGAAGTGACGGTAGTGAGGAAAATCGTAACGCAAAGTGAATGCAATTTTTTTTCACTACCGTCACTTCGTGAAAACAAGGACGATATGTCCCATTCTAAAGAAACATAAATTGGAACAAATCAATTTTTCACATACTAAAACAAGTACCAAGCTTGGTAAAGGTATGAATAAATTAGTTGTCAACTGTATACAGTACCATATGTAATGCTGAGTGCCGTATTCACGCAACTTTGTTTTTAAAGAATTATTCTTGAAGAAATAATTGATTAGGTAGTAAATATGAAAAGTTATGTATCATGATATTGCAGAAGTAACAAACTATTTTAATAGGTCACGCACATTCTGGTACATTGATATGAAATTACGCAAACAAGAATTTTGTTCAAAGATGTTTTTTTAAGGGCTGTCCTCCTTGCTGACTGCTCCAGGTGATCACTAGGCTGCTACCATACCAACCACAATGTCACAAAGCACCTAGGGACTGGGAAGTTTCTCTCATTGTCTCTCTGTCTGTCTCTCTCTTTACCTCAAGGTTTGACTGCATCTGATGACCACCATCTAGCCACCATCAGTGACATTGCAGCATCCTTCCAGCACAAAGTCACTCAGCACCTTGTAATCCGGATCGCTAGGGCCATGCTCTACTGTCAGCAGACTGGATTGATTCCAGAAGGCAACCAAACCCTGGTAGGTACCCAAGTAGTGTCTTATGTCTGTAATGTCATAAGGTTTTTATTTAGAAATGGTCCTGAATCTTAACCCTTACTGTACTGGGGGGGGGGCCTGAGAGGCCCCCCTCGACTTTTTTGGAGATCGCGCCGCAACCGCTTGGAATTTTGAATTGTCGTTTCATGACTTTTTTCCCTCAAGTCCTGCGCACATTTTAATACCATTTTCGTCAAAATCGGATATACCTGTAAGGTGTTACATAACAATTAGTATGCGCATGTCATCAAAAAAGTGCTATAGTTGCATATATTCATGTACAAGCAGAAATGTGAAGATATGAATTGATATCAAATTGCTTTTATATGTTTCTCAGAGTAGCTTGATGTATTCTAGGACAAAAGAATACATTAGAAATAAAACAATAGATATAATAAGAAATAAAAAAAACAATAAAATACATAAGAAATTAATTAGTTGAAAATCGCATAAAATTTGCATAAATTATCATTATTAATTACATCAAATAACTATTTTGTGTTAGAAAAGAAGTTTCATATGAATAATGAGTTACAACATTCAAAAAGTGGAGTCTGACAATTTTTGTAATGATTCTAGTTCCCTAAATATAGTTCCAGATTTGATATTCATGAATGCGTAATTTGCATATTCATAATTTATGCAAATTAACCTTTGCATTTTCAAATATCATAAAAATAATGAAACCTCGTGAATTTGAGATGGAGGAAAAAATTTATTCAATACATTTTCAAGATTCTTCACAAGTCTATGGACAAATATGTAGAGTTTTCTGTAAAATGCATAAAATTAGCATTTTGCATAATTAATTAGGCTATAACGACAAAAATTTTGCATATTAGGAAAAAAGTAATTATACCATGTTGTTCCTTATGTAAATATCTACAAATATGCAAATTTTCGTGTTCATCAGACATTCAACGACCGAGATCATAGGGGGGGGGGGCCTCCCAGGCCCCCCCCCCCCCCCCCCCCCCCAGTCAGAGGGTGCTCAAAATAGCCCAGTACAGTAAGGGTTAAAGGTAAAGACCAGTTGTGGCCATGCGATTGCATTGTGAGAGAAACAGTGTGAAATCGATCAGAAAAGATTGAACTTCTAGCATATAAGTATTGTTGTGTACTGCAAGGTTCTGGAGTCATCAAAATAGTAAGAAATTTGGCCCAGTCTAGGTAAAGTTACAAGCACTGTACACTGAAATATGTATTTGGGACTGCACGAACATGTGGCATAAAAATCTGTCCCGATTTTTATGCTGTTGCATGCCATGTTTAGAATATTGAGGCATTTGAAGAGCCATACTGTTACAGGTATCTGATGTTCTTCCATACTTGCATAATAAGAATGATAACGCTCACAAATTATTTGTCACCTTTTCCCAGAACTCAACCTTCTCTTTAATAGATAGGTTGTCTTTTTTGTACAGGTGGTTGCTAGATTGGGTTTAATTTTCATTGCCATGAAAAAGTGCCAACCCATGGAAGAATATTGCAAATTTGTAATTGACTTGTTGAGAATGAAGTAACGGGTTTCAAATGTAGGAGTTAAAATATCACACATTTCACTATTACCTATTTACAATAGTAGTTGTTCAAACTCCTGCCTTATGATATATGCTATCGATATGCTTTGGATGTTTTTTTCAAAGAACAGAACAAAATGGAGTTCAATTTTCTTCCACAGGTTGTTTCTGGAGGTGTTGCCAGCAACGATTACATTCGCAAGGCTCTAGACTTCACCACGAGTCTATTCAAGTACAAACTCATCTGCCCACCACCGTACCTGTGTACAGACAATGGAGTAATGATTGCATGGGCTGGGGTAGAAAGACTAAGACTGGATATGGGCTTCGCTGAAGATCCCCAGTCCCTAAGATTTCAACCAAAGTAAGCAACAAAACCACACCACCACAAATAACAACACCAATAACACTACCAGAAACACCACCACCATGACCACAATCCACAACAATAACAACAACAATATCAACACAAACACACCAACATGACCCACCACTACTAACAACTACAACACAAATAATGGCAGTTACAACACCATCACAATATGCAACAGCAGCAAGAAAACTATAAAAAGTGTACTGTTGCATCTAGGTTAAATATATCACTGATTGCCCCTTCTGTAAATACATGATTTTTTAAATATTAATAATAATAATAATACATTTATAGAGCGCAGAAACTATCAAACATTTAGTATATATTCTACTGAACTACATAAAAGAAAGAGATTTACCAGGTTTTTGTAATATATTATATAATCTACTCATTTTTAATAATAATAATTATATTTGCTTATATAGCCCGTAACACTTACTTTATCAGAAGTCTCTAAGCGCTCTACAATAATGCAGCACAATTACCCTGGCTTTAGCAGTGTAGCTGTTACCACGTGCTGCGTTTCAAGGAATAAATTCCTACCAGGTTCCCATTTACTTCACCTGGGTGGAGTGTGGCAAATGTAGATCAATGTCTTGCCAAAGGACATTTTTACATGCTCATCCCTCTGCTACCACTCCAACTGCTCAGTTTCTTTACACTTATTTAGGCCTGCTTTTTTGAGGAACAGTCAGTAGTTTTCCCCATTTTATTCTCTTGATATCTTTTATACTCTTCTTTTTTCCTCTTTTTTTCTGTGAAGGATGCCACTTGGGGAGGACATCTCAGAGCAAGTTACAGAGGCTAACATCAAGATCAAAAGAATCAAGTTTTGGTGAGGAAACTGCTGGCAGAACTGAATATATGACTTCTAGTAACAAGCCTACTACTTTAAGGCAACAGATATTGCCAATTTGAAGAGAGGATTGTATTTTTGACCAGGGCCCTGTACTTATTTGCGATTCATATCAATCGCAACTATGTACATATGAGACAGGAGACTGCAAACTTGTGATTGATTATAATCATAATAATAGTGGGTTCTTGTATAGCGCTCATGTCAGTCAGATTTGACCCTCCTGGCGCTCCCGATTATTACCCTGGCTTTAGCACGGCTGCCATACGATGCTCTAGCATTTCAAGGAATAAATTCCTACCAGGTACCCATTTACTTCACCTGGGTGGAGTATGGCAAATGTAGATCAATGTCTTGCCAAAGGACATTAATGCGGCAGAGGACTTGCGATTGATTTGGATCAATCGTAACTCTTTGTAAGACAGGGCCCAGGTCAGACAGCTTATTCATAGGAAGATCAAAGTTTTGTTGAGAATGCTAACTACATGAACTCTGATATCAAGCCAAACATCTGTAAGACTACTGGTATTGCATCATTTGAAGAGAAGTGTTCATATGAAGACAGAAAAGCGTGTATCAACATTGAACGATTCAATTACTGGTGGGGAGATTAACCTGCAGACTTGATCAAATGACATCTTACATCAATCAAGACAGTTACATCTATCAACTGTGTTTTAAGGGCAACCAATGTTAGCAATTCTCCCTATTGCATATCGAGGGTTCAGTGACACAAAGACGTAACTCCTTATTTTGCCAAAATGAGTATCTGATATGAGTATCAAAATGTTCAGAAAATGTGGGATTTCCAGGAAACACAAAGACTTAACTCAACCCAACACCCCATTGAAGTCAATGGCTAGTGAAACATAGACTTAACTCCCACAAGTGCTCAATGACACATAAACCACTTTTTCTCAAAATGGAGTTACTTCTTTGTCTCACTGACCCCTCGATATCATCAATAGCATATTTTCAATACACTGTAATAGCTTTCAGTACTGATATTGGAGACAAAGGTACTTGGACAACACAATGCTTTGCTCAGTTTTGACACACAATTACTTGGGCAGCTGCTTGCTGTCCCGTCGGATAAAGAATCCTCATCAAAATATCACGAACTAATTCTAGAGTTCCTACTAAGTTCAAACTGTCTTTCATGTGAAGATATTATAAAGCCAGATGCAGGAGTTCATCTTCAGAAAAATGTACCCATGTCAGATCTTTCATCTACAAATATTCTGCATAATTTTTCTGTTTTACATTGTCAGCCTAAAATAATGATAATATTGATATGAAAGATTCATACGGCACCAAATTCGCTTGAAATCAAATGCTCAAGGTGCACTAGTGCCAAAAAATGAAATGATATTAAAAGGGTCTGCCTTGTACACAAAAGAACGACATGAGTGAGATAGAAGATACAAAAATTAAAATTTAATAATTAACATTAGATGGCTTCGCAGAAGAACCCATTGTTAGGTGGATTCCATCACTTTTTCATCAGGCCTAGTTGTTCACATCAAATCAAATGTAAGAAATGGAATACATTTTGAAATCCTTGTCAGAACTTCACGTCAGAATACAATGTTAACCAGTCACTAGTTGCCTTGTAAAGTGGCAGCTGGAGATAAGAGAGAGGAATGGGGCTAGTTGAGTATCAAGAAGATTGTATACATTGCAATAAAGAATATTCTTACACAGCGAGAAAAAAAAAGGTCCTTGTCAGAATACTTTTGTTGTGTTTCTGTTAATATTTAAAGCCCAACTGCACTAGTTTGGCCAGGAGGGATTAGACCTCCCTGCATGTTCATCGACAGGTGGTTATCTCATCTAATCATCTCTCGATTCACAAAAGAAAAAGAGGATCAAGGGGGACCAATGGTCACCGATTAGGCATTGTTTGCTATATAGAGGGCGCAAGTCGCTATAAGTAGTGCAGCGGCAATTTAAGGTTTAGGTTTATTTGTTCCACTGATTTTTATTACCTTATCAACAACATTATTCACCTACTACAGCACACATTTTGCACATATATTATTATTAGACCACATTTAATGCTCAATTTTATGATTTTCTTTTCTCAATGCTCTGCTAATGATTTTCTTCCAAAAATTCTCTCTGTCCCACCTCCCCTTCTTTCGCTCTCTCTCTCTCCCTCTGTCCCTATTCCCCACCTTTTCTCTGTATCTCTCATGCCAACTCTTCCTTTCTCTTTCAATCTTTTATCCTTTCTGTCTTTTTTTCATTCTTTTTCACTCTCTGCCTTTCTTCCTGTTGCATCCCTGGACGTTTTTCATTTGCAAAAGCATATACCTACTTCGGCTATTTCCTCTATATATTTAAGGTATTTTCTCGAAAACTAGACAATTTTCCTATGGGGGGAAAAAAGGAAAATACACCAATAAAAAACTGTTTAGGCTAAGGATTTGGAACAAAACATCAATGAAAAATATATTCAGAGTCGAAAAGAGTAAAAAAAAAATAATTTCTGTGCTGTTTTGTCACTAATTTTCAACTAGTTTTACACTACTTTATTTTTACTGGGGAAATTTTCCTTGTTTCCTTTTCTCCCTACCTGGCAAATCTGTTAAAAAGTGAATACGTGTGTATGTTTTATTTAACTTTGTATGTAAACCATGTTAATCTATATTGTATGTTTCTTTGTAAAATTGTGATTGCTTTTATATGTACGACTATGCTGAAGAACAGCCATTGGCTGAAGTATGCCACCGTGCTAAAATGTAAAAAAACAAAACAAAAAAACATGACCTCTATGACAAATACACACATCAAACCACAATATAGTGCATAATTTTATATTTTAATTCAAGCTATTTTGACTTAAAATAGTTGACATACATGTATAATATCAATCAGTATAATAAGATGGACATATACAATCATATACTCAGTGTGGAATGTAGTCCTTATTTCTATACAAAAATCATGAAAATACTGTGTACTGAGATTGTACTGATCAACTGCACACGGGTACTGATAAAATTAAAATAAAAGGTACTGATTTAACATTGCATTTTATATCATTACATAAAGAATCAGATTATGGTTTGCTCTTAATGTGGAATATATATATTTAAAAGGACCATATAAGTCTAAAATGTCTTTCACATGAGAAATTAGAATAAGAGGCTCCATGGAAACGGTGGTCATTTCATCATGTTCAACACACATATGGGTTATATATATGTATTTCTTTGAGTCTTCGGTTATTCATACATACATGTATCTACATGCATGTGAATGTGTGTGTGTGTGTGTGTGTGTGAGAGAGAGGAAAAATCTGTAGGGGGAATTCCCTTCTAGGCTTCTACAGTCAATGTACAGTGTATATTGGAGCAGTAGCGTTCGAATGGACTACATGTGAATGATTTCTATCTACATTCTACATCAAAGGGATACGCACTGTACAGTGTACATGTATACAGTAACGTTCGAATGGACTATTCAAAGGAATAGGCCTACTTTACCATTATTACCTACTGGAACAGGGTGGCTCCTGTACTAACCCTATGGAGAATATGAGAATTTAGTACTGGTAATCGATGGCTTTAAAGGTTAATTAGTAGGTACTTAAACTTTCATGGTGGAACAATCATTCTACATTACTCTGGTGTGTAATAGAGTTGGACACTGATCTCATAAGTGTTCATTTAACCTCTTCCCAATAGAAATGGATAAAAAATACTTTTGATCGCTGAAAAATAGAAATCACACTTTTTTGCAATAACCACTACTGACTATTCACAAGCTGAAACACAAAGTAATTCCTAGTTTTCCACTTCCTTGACTTAGTGCAAAATTAAAAGCACCAGTTTTGTTAAAATCTATGAAATAATTATAAGTTTTGGTTGCAATACTTATTCATTCGTAGGAGAAGGAGAGAAATTGAAGAGCGTATCCTAACCCTAAACATTTGACGTCAAAATTTAAACTGTAATAAAAGTGTAAATCAGTAGAATGGTACTGAACGTTTTTGAAGTACAGGTTTATTGTTCCGAAGGGATAAAAGATCTTTGCTTAACCTTTAAAAAAATTGTCCACTATAGAGAAAAAAATGGAAGAATTGAGATTAAGTAGTTACGAACATAAAAAGTTGAGTTGAATAAATTCATTAAAAAACACATGCAAGAAGAACGCAGTTACTTTCCATACATTCTATCATAATCTATCTTTACAAATATATTTCTGTAATATATTGAACTGTAATATTTACAGTATATTTTACTACATACATAATTATAATGGACACTACATTTATCAGTGTAAATGTGTTACCGCTATTTGGGTACCTGAAAATTCTAATTAGAAATTTCATTAAAAACATGTACAAGTCTACAAGTGAATCTTCAAGGCAAGAATGCATTATAGTAGTTGAAAAATTGACAAAATTATTTACATTTCCACAAGAGATACACAAGGAATAATTTATGATCATGTTCAAAAATGCAAAGATATACAGATATTTTTGACAAACTACAAGTCATCTAAACATGCATCACATAACAAATACAAGCACATCCCTAAAGAATAGTACTATGAATGTCCTAATTCAATCAATCAATTCATTTCTAAGTTTAATTGACATTAAACATTTTAAAAGAGGATGTGTCAAATGGTGCTTCGATTGACACAAATCTACTGACCATATCTTGCATTTTACAATAATCAAAATACTTTTATCTTGCAAATTTATTTGTTATGCTGTTAGAACTCTACACAAGAAATATGTGATAAGAAGTTGGGGGATGGATGCATATTAATATTTCAGAGGCTATCCGATTCTTTGGATCATATGTTGAAGAAATATATATTTCTTCTTCTAACATGCATATTTATATCACAGTCACACCATCAAAACTGACTTTAAATCAAGCTCCAAAGCAACCTCTTCTTGGTCATTTGGTGTAACATAACTTCATACTCTGTTACTCTGCGGTGTGTTGTCGGTCTCTTTCATGAAACTGGGGGATTATGCAGATACAAATTTCATGATGATAACTTAATTTACAATCATAAAGCAAGCACTGTACATGATACATAATAAATATCCACGTACATGTGTAGAAAGTAAAGGACTAAACTGAATTTGTGATAGTGTACCATACCTTTTTCACACTAGGGAAGGTTTTTCAGATGACCTTTGGGAATGAGGGTCATGACATTCTGTAATATTCTTTTAATGATTTAAACCTAAATTTCTGATCACATCTCAATATCTTATCAACTTCATCCAACCAATTTACAAAACATCAATCAAATTTTGTTCTTGTTGTTGCATTAAAACCTTTACAGCCTCTACTTTTTTCATTTTCAAATGCTTTCAATAAAAAAAAATGTCATGAAAGATAAAGAATACTGTAATCAAACACAAACACACACGCAGACACACCCACACACTTAACATCATTCAGGAATGTTTCTGTATTAAGATCAAGTATAACAAATCCTAGTGACTGACAGCATCTTTATCAATTTGTATCCTCTTACTTTGGATTTGACATGATGAAAGAACTTCTCATCGCACTTTGGCAATGGCACAATCACACATTAATTCCCTGAATAATCTCTTTAAATGTATCTAAAATCATACTACACTACAACAATGTAATAGAACATGCTCTAAAAAAATAACAATTTATCATACAAATACATTTTGTATCTAAATGTACCTCTAAGCTATTGCACATTATTTTTTTTACATAACTTAAAAATACAAAGCCTGTTTATAAAAGTATCATTAAGTGACATGTATGTTTAATAGTTGAAGGTCTTATGAGTTTAATGGGGTGAATGTGAGCAGCAAATTTCATTGTTCAATGTGAGAGGTAAATAGTTTGCTCCATCTGTCTTCACAAGAGTAAGATCAGAAAGTGAGAGAGGGCAGAGAAGATGGAGAGGGATGAGAAAAAAGAGAAAATATCAAATACATAATGCAAACTATAATTGGGGAGATGATAAAACAGATAAAATGTAACATATCTGATTACCTGGTCAGAAAAGACAAGAAACAAATTTCAGGATAATTTTTGACAAATGGGGAAAATTCCTGGCTGAAATAAAGAAGTAGTCAGATAAAGCCTCTGTGATTAGGTTTTTTTAAAGGTGCTAGAAATAATAGGTTGACATGAAGGGAAAATATGGTCCTCTCTTGAGAGAAGTCTGAACGAAAAGGTACAAGAAAAGAAGAGTACATGTGGTTGGACATAGAAGGAAAGTGAGCACAGCCACAATGAATTTAGATTTCACAAAGAAATAAATATAAAATAACACAAACTAAAAAAAGATGCAAACACTGGCTTAAAAAACAGAATTTTGAATCCATAGAAAAATAGAAGTCAGAAGCAAAAGGACTTTACTTGAGGATTTAAGACAAACATTCAACATGCAAAATCAGATAGCTCATTTGCAAAAGCACGCTACATTTGTTTTCAAGACACAAACTCAACATGCAACACAAAATAGTTCAGAAGCAAAAGGATGCTAAATGTGGTTCAAAAGCACCGAACATGCCACATTTTGCAGAGAAAGCTGAGAGCACAATACATAGAGAGGAGGTGAGGTCAGGGTGAAGAAGGCAAACGAAAGAAGATGAGGTGCAAACAAGCGATGCAGTGATTGGTTGGTCATAACCATGTGTTTTGTGCATTTACACGAAATCCTGTGGTTTAAGAAGAAAAAAAATTGCAGTCGGTAAGAGTAAAGAAATATGGACATCACAAATATGTCCTGACAAATTAATTTACGCATCGTTGTGGGCTCAGCCAAATGCAAAAAAATGAAATAATAATAAAACCAGCCGATGAAGATCGTCACCCTGCAGTTATGATCTTTCTCTGGATATATCTAAATAGTGCATGTTAACTGTGATTAGATAAACCTTTTCTAAATCATTGCTTCATTTATTCATTCATAATATAAACAAATTAGAAGGACAACATTGTACAAAATGTGTGTTTGCATCCTTATGCTAGGTTTACACCATTAATGTTATCAGTAGAACATTGTCAAACCACTTCTTGAGAACATTGTTTTTTACAAAATATATATATATATATTAGAATAATGATAATTATATGTCTTGCTTTCCCAGGTGAGCTTAATCAGCATTAATACTGTTCTCCATGAGGGCCCTGCAATCATATTATTATTACCCGGCTTTATATGCATTTACGTGTAAGTCAACACAGTTCCCATAGACACTGACTAAAATGTGACTAGTCTTCATACATATATAGAGACTTAAAGAAAGAAGTCATGTTAAATGAAGAGACTAGTGAACATGAAAGTTCATAACAAGGCACTTTTGGAAGAGTACAGTATACAAACAAACTTTTGAGAATTGCTGTGCACTCCTAGCCTCTACATGTCTTTTTGTGTGAGCGAAATCTTCACAAATCTACTCAATCCATTGTTGAATAATTGTGTTCAACAGATCTCTGCCCAAGTTGCATGGAATAGGAAAACCTATGAAAGCTTCCATTTTCAACTAAATATCACAAAATTAACAAATATGCTGATATATAACAATGCTGATTAAAAAACATTTTATTCTTGATTGTAAGTACTTAAATATTCCATTCCGTATTGCACATTATGTAAACACTCTAAAACCCTCACATTTAGATTCAAATGGAGTGACATCTGCAGAGATTAAGTTCATGACAAGTTAGTACTTTTCCAACAAAATTTACATATTCTTGAAATGGCAATAGTATGTTTCGCCTCCATTTTTGGGTCATAAAATATTTGTTCAGTAAATCATTATAGTATCAAATGATACTAAAGTTGAAACATGTTTGTTTTTAAACAAAAGAATTAAAACAAATAGGCACTTAAAATATACTTTAACCATACATCAGAATGCAGCATTAAAATTTTCTGAAAATGATTCAGAATCGTGAGTGCTACACTAAAAGCAAGTGATGGGCACATCAACCAAGTATATCACACATATTATTATGCATGGGTCTGGTGTAACAAGTATCAAATAAACTGTTGATATAACCTAGAATCTAGGTTTTTAATTTGTTCATATCTCATACTGTAAGATGAGCTTCAGTATGTGTACCTGTTAATCCATTAGTAGTGGCTTCTGGAGCCAGAAAGACGTCATCTTCATGCGAGTTCATTTCCTCCTCTAATTCATTAATCTCCTGGACAGTGGTGTTATTCTGAACACCATCCTTCGACAAAAATGGCTGACTACCCATCCCATTACTGGGCAGTGAAGGGTCCCGGTCCTGTGCAGATACACCAGAATCACTGGGCACCATGCAGGTTGTGACAGGGGGTGTGTTGGGGGTGCTGTTTGCCGGAGATGGTTTGAAATGGGTTGGTGGGTGGGGCTGCAAAAGGGGCGTGTGCTCGTGTGGAGAAGGAAGCTCTTGTAATATCTCGTTGTTCGCTTGTTCGAATGGCATATTCAGCTCTATATAGTCCTAGAGAAAGAACAAGTTTGACAATAATTGAAAAATATTTTTAAATACGGACAATATGCAAGACAAAAATTAAGTTAATTAACATATGAACAAAGCAATTCAGTGACAGAGTGAAATGTTAACCAAAAAGAAAATGAAGTTGGAAAAAGTGTGTCTTTATTGTGTACAAGCACCATTCCACCTAACTTCTCTTTTCATCGCCAAAATTAATGTCCAAAATGAGTCAAATTCATGCAAAACAAAACATAATCCGATAAATCCCATTAAATTTAGAAAAGAGAATTCTGAATATTTAATATAAATTATGACAATGTTAACAAAGTAAATCTGTAAACCTACAATCTATTAGAGGATACTTACTGATGCAACATTAGCTTCTAACATATCACCCAATCTGACTGCTAGGATACTGAATGATGGCCGCGCCTCTGGCTCCGGTGTCCAACATTCCAACATTGTATCATATCTGAAAAAATAAAGATATTCTTGTTATTTGCACTGTGTCACTACAAAACACACACAAGATTCAGTTTGCGACATCAGTGAAAATGGAAAAGATAGTCTTATATGTTATATACACATACATGATAAAGGGTCTTATCATATTCAGAATTCAGAAATAAACTAATCTATCATCTTGAAAGTTTTCATACTCAGAATAATAATATGTTATGCTGGATGTCATGAATGGATAAATTATGCTTGAACCCATTGCCTACGTGAACAGGCTTGTCCCTGTGTAAAGCCAATGGGAATGCAATAATTCAGTAGTCAACGGATTAACAAGTACTATATACCTCACTTTAGAAATCTAGCCATCTGATTGGTCGAAATTGGAGTCGTGATTTTAGCCATGCCCAGCCTACCAGTCAATAGTCTTTTGAAAAGCGCCCTGAGTACTGCGATCCCCTTTGGTTTACGTGTTAATTGTGTAGATCTAGACTGCAGAGGGATATATGTGTGCAATCTCAATGGGAAGGATTTTAGCACACAAACTTGAGTGGTGCGCGATCAGACACCCTATTAAGACTAGGTCTCGATAGCGTAAACAAACTTGATTACCATGATTGGTAAGTCACACTTTTTTGTATATAAAAGTTATAATGACTGCTTTAATATTTGAGGCATACCGGGTAGTTGTTTTTATAGGCTCTCGGGGAGGGTACATCGTGGTATCAACCCTCAGCACGCCTCGAGGCGATAGCACAATGTAACCTCCCCTTGAGCATATAAAAACAACTATGTCTCTCATAGCAGTCATTATTACTATATTAGTCCCAGCTACTCACACTCCTGGAGGTGCATAGTCAGGTGCGTTCATTCGATATCCATTCTTGATCTTATTGTAGAACTTCTCATCAATCTGAATCCCTGGGTATGGAGAACCACCGAGAGAAAATACTTCCCACAAGAAAACAGCATAGGCCCACCTGATAAGAACAATGATAAAATAATTATATACCGGTGACCAACTTTAAGGGGGATATGAGACTATATTTCCAGATTGTAATCATACTGCCCAATTTAAAGATGATGGAAATATGGTTATGTAGAGCAATGTAATCTTTTGACCCAAACAAATCATTGTAGTAATGATATACACTAATGCTCAAGGTGCAGTAAAAAAAGAAGAAGAGTAAACACACTAGAGTATACCACATTGGAACAAATACATACATACAAATATATTTAGTGTAAAGGTAAATGTACATCAGAGCTACTGTGATCATATGAGTTCCTCAGGTAATTTTCAAAGTGATCAACACCAGTAATATTGTGAACAACTGTAACATTTAATTGGGTAAATTGCACAATGTGAATATGACTCATCCCCCATAATTTTGATGTATTATGAATGAGGGATTTAGAGTTAGATAATCTTTGAGAATTTTAAGGTTACTACTCTAGGGTAGACTATTTATATGATGATAAACAAGCAACATTCAAAGCCTCACTGCACTATGCATAGCTACATGTGCCCTCTATATAGGAAGCAATGCCTAATCGGTGCCTGTTGGTCCCCCAAGATTCGCTTTTTCTTATGTTAATTGAGAGCTGATTTGATGAGATAACCACCTGTTGGGAGGTCTAAATCCCCCCTGGCCAAACGAGTACAGACAGGCTTTAAATGATTATTGTAAATTATCATGCTGTGAAAACTTACACATCACTGTATGTTGTGAATACTTTGTCAAAAATAGACTCTGGTGCCATCCACTTGATAGGTAAACGTCCTTGCTGCAATGGAGAGAAGGATGTGGAAAACATATGAGAAACATAAAGTTCATCCTTATTATTATACATATTCCATTGCAGGAAAGGAAGTATTTAAGGCCTACATAGATCACTATTCCTTTTTCGAATTGGCAACACTGGTAATTTTTTCTTGCTACAAAAGTAGAGTATGATAATATAAATGTACATGGTGATAAATGATAAATACCAAGTGGCGAAGGTAGAGTTAAGTGCCTAGCCCTGTGGAAATGAGTGTTATACAGGCATCAAACATTATTGCTATAATAATAATAAATTGTTATACCTCACCATTTTATTGTTACCATTGCTGTAAAGTCACATGGATTGGAAAAGAAGACCTTCAGGTTACAGTTATTTAGCTAATCCTTTTCTTTTCCCAGCATCCATGTGACTCTTTCCAAATGTACTCTTGTTTTGTATTCAACGATTTTCTTTGTTTTTGCCGAATAAATAATAATAATAGTATTTTAAAAGTACCTTGCCACTTGCGACATAGTCCGGATCATCATATAGATGCTTGGCCAGCCCAAAGTCACATATCTTGAGGGTGTAGTTTTCTGTTACTAGTACGTTCCTGGCTGCTAGATCACGATGAATTACCTTGTATACAAGATCAAATTGAAGTTTATTAAAAGAAACGGAGAGTTTTCATCAAATAAAATCATAGAAACATTTAAAAAGAATCTAAAGACATATATGTTTGCATGTTATTTTAGTTGATTATATGTTGAATGTATATCAATGCATATTTGTTCTCATTTCTCTATGTAACTCATTCTAATTCTATCCATCTGCACCTCAGAATAACTTACTAGATCGATAGCACATAACAAATGTTGTATTTATTATTTATTATTAAATATACATGCAGCAACAGGCTTTTTAAATGTACATACATTCACTTAACACGTGGTGTAAAATTCATAAGATGAATAAAAATAAGACTATTTCTACAAGGGGTAATCAGCATACTGCTTTTAACTTTCCAGTGTGTTTTTCAAATATCCATAACAAATTTATGCATTAATCTATCATACACGAAGGTGAGGAAGATTCTTTTGTGAAGTGGAGTGGCACATAAAAACCTGACAAGTTTTGTGAAACGCCCCCCTGGAGTCTGAATTACAACTTCCAGTGCATGTTTGGAGCTGCCTAGGCTAGCAAGATCCCATATAAAATGAAAGCTCTTTGATTACTTTCGAGACATGTTTCGTTTTTTTAAGCCATGATATTATGTGCCAATTCATTTCAGTAGGAAATCTCAACCTATTCTTCAACATATTCAAATAGACACGTTGTCTTACATTTTTAGAAGCAAGGAATTCCATGCCCCTTGCCACTTGGAAGCTATAACATAGGAGATCTTGACTATTAATAGGGTCATCTTGGAGAGGGGAGAAAACTTCCTCTGGAATAATCTGTAATAAAAAAAAAAGGTTTTAAAGAATGACTGTTTCTTCAAGAGCAATGAAACAAATAGGCCTGTGCGCACTTTATACTAGCAATAGAGAGGATGGTGGGTTATAGTATTGTGAAAATAAAATCTGAAAGGATCAAACAAACACTTAGACTGATATTTAAGAGTTCTAATAACTGATTTCTTCCATATAATTTTGAGAGGAGACTAGTAATACGCAGAGAAAATTAGGTAAATGAAAGCTAGTCATTCGAATCCATGAGCATCTCTTAAGTTCTGCTTTTCAATGGATGCAAGTGAAAAAGTGATCTGAACATGAGGCAGGTAACCTGTATATAAATTTGACTTTCATGTTACAATGAGAAACACATTAGGGGAAACATGTGGTCATTTATATACGGATAGTTGTCCTACAGAGGTGTTCATTAACATATTTTGAATGTAAGGCTTAGGCTGGGAGAAGTTTCAACTGTTGTTGGTAGAGTCGCTGCTAGGCAAGCAGTAAATGGCAGGTTCAAATCCCGCTGGTTCCAAGATTTTGTCTGAATTGTTTTGTAATTACAAGATCAAGCACAGATCTTCATCTACTGAGTGCAAGCCAAAAGGTTTTCTTTACAATTGGTCACCAAAGTAGTTTCTGATTGATGTTTCTTAATCCAGACTTTCAAAATGTGAGCATTCCTCACCTGGTCATAGACGGCCTTCATGCGTCTTTCACTGCCCGAGGAGGTCTGGAAGGTATTACTAGCTCCAGTACTGCTTGAATGACCGGTGTGACTCTGACTACCTGTACCCTCAGGGGTCTCCGAGAAGTATTTCCTCTTGGACCGCAGGAAGTCTAGCAGGTTCCCGTGGCAACAGAATTCAACAATGGCCAAGACAGGACCTGTTAGACGAAAGATCATTTTTAAAACACTTTTTATTAAACACATAAACAATTCTGCATCATTAAATACCATGACAAATATAAACATAGGTCACAGTTTTGTTAATGAAGTCATATACAATTTTATTTATTCTTTTGTCGCTATAGAAAATATAAGTGCTACCTATTTGCATAAGGAAAGCTGATCAATTTAGCCCTTGAAAATTCCTATCCTAAATGGAATAAATCCTAGCCTTTCTCATCATTTCAAATGGTAGCACCAACAAAGTTGACCATGTTGAGATGCTTATTAAAAACATGACTTCATATGAGAACAAATATAGCAATAAAGAAAAAATTTCAGCACTCCCAATTTAAATAAAGAACGTTAAACAATTTAACAACTAAAAGTTTCTATCCTGAATGGAATGAACCCTAGCTTTTCTCACCGTTTTGGGTGCAAGCACCAAGAAAGTTAACCACGTTGAGATGTTTCCCGATGTGACCAAGCATTTTGAGTTCCGCCCACAAGGCCTTCTTCTCCAGAGACGTTGCTCCACCTGCCCAGCCAAGAAATCAAGTAATAAACCACATTAAAGGCATCATTTAGCAATGTTAAATCTGAGATGCACGGCCCTACGTGTGATCAGTGTCTGTGATATGGTGTAATATTGAAGCCCTAAAAAAAATTGCGCTTCAAAATGATCAAGAAGTGCCTCAAAAAATAGAAATCTTTGAGTGACCGGTTTTACCATTCTCGTTTTCCCCAATAGACAGTAGTGATATGAAAACCGTTAGGCAAATGCAAAATTTGGTTTCAATTTCCAATCATAAATATTTTGATAATCAGACAGGCGATCGGCTTGTAAAAGTCATGGGGTTCCTAACTGACCTAAAGGCACCAAAGTTTTTGTCTTATTTCACATCAGACATGATGAACTTCATTTGTATTTGGTTCTATCATTTTACTTGAATCATTTAATCTTGTACAGCTTCTATAATCACCAATGAATACATTTTAAGATGTATTTGAACTGCATCTTATTTCAGCTCAGCAAACTGTCAAAGCACAAAACTATGTCTGTAATGGGTGAGGAGTCTAATAGTGTACGACATACTTTTTAAATCAATATAAATTGAATATCATTCATACTACATAAGACTCCTACTTTCTAAACTGGCCCTACCTGAGCTTTAAAAAAAATGACACACTCTACCAGACAAATCAGGTTATAGCATAAGATGGTCAACAATGTTTTGTTTTTTAACCATTGGGTATTTGTTGATAGCTACATACGTGTTTGGTGCAGTAAAGTGCTTAGAGCAAGGTCAACTTTGGCTTCACAAAGGGTGAATAATATATTTTGTCAGCGTTACTCAAGAAAACAAATGAAATATAATTACTACACAACACAACAAATTGTCTGTTTCGAACCAGAAGGCACTAATTCTTTGTGAAGGGATTATAGAGTGAACACCTTCCAACTCCAAACAGACAAAATATCGACTATACATACTTTTGAGTTTCTTGACTGCCACTGTGATGTTATTCTCAGTCCCATCAATGCCTACAGCAACAGCTTTGATGACCATACCAAAGGCTCCTTTACCTATTACACCACCTACAAGAGTTAAAAGAAAAAATGATTTATTCATTTATAATGCTCACGCATCCAAAACTTTTGATCAAGGCACGACAATAATAAATACCCAAGTTACATAAAAAATAGCTCAACATAGATACGTTTTAGCTGTGTTTTTATTATTCTGTTGAATCTAACTTCCTCAGATAAGAAGGAAGTGAGTTCCAGAGAACAGGTGCAGTCTGTCTCCGTCTGTAAAATAATAATATTAATAACAACTGACAACAACAATGATGATGACAGCACTATTTCTCATACTAATTCTACTACTACTACTACTACTACTGCTGCTGCTACTGCTGCTACTACTACTACTACTACTACTACTGCTACTACTACTACTACTGCTACTGCTACTGCTGCTACTACTGCTACTACTACTACTGCTACTACTACTACTACTGCTACTGCTACTGCTGCTACTACTACTACTACTACTACTACTGCTACTACTATTACTACTGCTACTGCTACTGCTGCTACTACTACTACTACTAACAACAACAACAATCACCACCACCGCTATAGTATTGTCATAATTATGACATACAACATCACCAAGAGATATTCTGTATTTGTCATTAATAATTAGGTTATATAGAACTATGGAGCATGGAACATACAATGATCCATGAACATGTATATTAATCTTATCAATAATTGTCTGCTGACAGCTACGAAGATATTAACCCATGTCCATCTTAGGGAGATGTGAGTTGATCTAGAGGTCGTTCACTTGGTCAGCTCTCTAGAGACCTTCACCTACTTCACCTACAAACTGGCTCAGACAGACCCCGGTCCAAAACTGAGTCACGTCTATCGGATGGTTTTGTTATTGAAGAAAACACCATAACCATACCTTACCCATCTGGCTATGCATTTTCCAACCAAAACATTTAATTCTTTTGAATATAAAAAATGTATTACTATTCATTTATTATATAAGTTCAATATATATTTTTATTGCAAATATGGAAATACATTTCGAATTTCTGTACATGTACCTAGCAATTTGCCAAGGTCGTTGAAGCACAATTATATATCATATGTACAAAAGAATTCCAATTTTACTACCATAATGATACCACGCATAATGTTTTAAGTGTAATTTTACTTTGTCACTGATGTATACTTTGTAAAAGAAACTGCAATTCGGCTCTCGGGCCGTGAATGTTTTTAAATGAAATAAACCATTTTAAATAAATAAATTTAAGGTCGGTCCCCAGACATAAATAATCATATCTGATTGATACACGTCTGTAAAAAACCTAATTACACACACACACTTCAACATCAGATCTACACAGGTCATGTGATTGCAAATTGAATGCAGACTTTGTATGAGTCTCCTCACTAAATTCACTCACAAAGCTCCGACATTCAAGTCCTTCTAAATAATTTAGAGAAAGAGATTAAATCCTCTCACACTTACCCAGTTTTAATCTTTCTCTGGGGAACTCCCACCTTTGATTGTATGCAATGTTCTCATAGGGGTCGTCACTCACTGAATAAATAGACCTTCTGTTACTGCCAAACCTTGGCATCTCAATGGGGGGTAGGCGAGATGCACGACGAACCTTGGGTCTCCGTCGATACTAAAATGAGAAGAATACCGAGGCAATTGTATGAATTTCAATTTGCAGATTTAAATGTGCAACTATGAACTTCGAAATCATTCCTGCATTCCTACCCATGAGAGAGCCTCCAATGATCCAATTATAAAAAAAAAATCCACAAGCTCTCCAAGGTGAGATCAGAAAAGTCTGCTGGACCTGACAGAGTTCCGGCTAAGCTTGTTCGGCTCTTCACTTGTGAGCTAAGCACCCCACTATATGATGTACTGAATGCCCTGTTAAGGGATGGAATAGTACCACAGCTACGAGAGGAAGCCATAGTTATTCCGGTATCAAAAAAGATACGGTTGCTGAACAATTCATTACCACATGGTTGCTCTCGGACATAAGTCGATTCAGCAGCTGGGCTGGACGATCAACAACTCATTGTCTAGTGAACTTGGTAAACACCAAGGTTGTCTGTCAGAGAAGTCATCACTGACAACAGGTGTGCCACAGGGTACAAAGTTTGGACCAGTGATGTTTTTTATACTTATCAAGATGCTCTCTCTACCTCTGGAGTTAGGTATTGGAAATACATGTACGTTGATGACATGACCATCGTGGAATCAACAGGTGCAACATGTTAGGTGCAGACTACTCTTGACTCTCTAAATGGCGGGTGTGGAACAATCAAATGTGATTGAAAGCAAATAAATATAACTCAATATGTTTCGATTTCGGGAGAATTGGCCTGCCACCACTGAACCTGACATTGAACGACCATACCCTGTCTGCTTAAGGTAATGGAGAATTGGGGCGTCCAAATTCAACCTTACTAGAAATGGGAAGGTTAACAAATTGACGATATTCTTTGGATTTATAGATGGTACATACGCCCATTGGTAGAGTATGCTGTACCTGTCTGGCATCCTGGTATTACTCAAAGACAAAGATCCTTGATTGGAAGGGTGCAGCGCAGCAGGCTCTTAGGCTCATTTTAGGCTCCCAGTACCTAACATATGACAATGCCCTGGATGTCACACAATCACAAACTCCTGAAGATAGACATTCTAATTTGTTCAAGATTACCTCCCCTTCTCATATTCAAAATTTTACCTACACATTACACATTCTTGTCCTATGCATGAATTTTCTTTTAGAACTACATATGTAAGAGTTTTACTTCAAATTGACTCTCTTGCCCCAGGTGTGTTTCCTCTCTTGGAAGGCCTTTTCTATACACATCTGCTTTACCTTGTACATGCAGTATATGAGGATGATGAGAAAGATGACACATATTATTGAGACAAGATAAGGTAGGATCCTCTCCAGAATGCCAGGAGGTGGTTGCTCTGTAAGAACAACAAACATGAAAAATGCATATTAGGGTCTACGAGAAACATGTCAATCTTATAATTAAGATGTCAATTCCTACACGTTACTGGATTACATGAATGTGTTTGTTCGATTTACAACTGTTAAGTGCATAAGATAGAATTAAATTTTGATAAACCTAGTTGTAGCAGCCACAATTGTGGCTAACAGGGGAATCTAGTAATTTGAATTTAGTAGGTTCATGCTTTGAATGAGTCGACAAATGTAGATTCTCCAACTTCTGTTCAGATACCACGTCGATACCACTTTCATTTTGCAGCGTTTTTGGTATTGTTCAGTTTGTATGGCAATTTTGAGGTTGAGTGATTTGAAGAAAAGTGTGAGTCTTGTGATGGCTCTGCATGCAATTCTCTTGGAGTTTACAGCCCTTGCAATTATCTCAGTGGCTTTTAACAGTAGCTTATAACAGTAAGCGGAGGCAAATTGAAACCAAGACTTGGACAACTGCTGCAGGCCAGCGAGCTGTATGGAGAACAGCTGTAAAGTGAAAATGAAGGCGGTCATTGTCGCTTCGCGACAGACAGCTACTACTACTACTACTACTATAACAGTAGCTTATAACAGTTATTATAACTTATTATTGATAAGGAGTTTAATGAAACAGGGCTTTGGTCTTATCTTGTACTTACCAATGACTAGCTCAGCATATTCTGATGTAGAGTTGGCATCAAGTGCTTCACAATAGTAATTTCCTCCAGCGTTGATATCCGCTGTTAGAGTGTAAGAGATGTTACCGACACCTTGCCAGAGGTAGACTTGAACATTCTCTTTCTTCAACTGAACCTTTGGAATGGGGTGTCCTCTTACAAGAAAGCATCTGATAGTGACATTCTCCCCAGCTTTGACCTCACTGTCGCCAATCTCAATCTTTAATTTTGGGAGCTCTGAAATTAGAAATTGAAAATGTTAAGTCATTGAGAACAGTTTCTCGGAGAGCTGAACAAGAATTTATACCTCTACAAAATGGAAATTGTACTGTTTGATTATAACATGCAAATTTACACACCAATACTAAAAAGGCCTATTGGAGCAAAAAGACCCTGCCAGTTTGAAGATTGTTTCATGTTTTTGGTTCAAACTTAGTACTTTTCAAGGTATTTTACAGTAGATAAATGCCCAATGCAAGAAATGAGGGAGCCTTTTTTCAGAGATGTGGTACAAACTCAAGCTGGGTTGAGGATGTCCTTAAGCAAGGCATTGGATGCAGAGATTCTGCTTCATGCAATCTAGGCTGATGACATCAAGCTCTTCAGAGGCTCTGAAAATCTCTGGATCACTGACTATATTCCTTGAAGAACTAACCTGTGATGGAAACGTCATAAGTCTGCCTATCTTCTCCGCCTCTGCTCTCTGCTACACATTCATACCTCCCGCTCTTATCAAGTGGTGGGTTAGCCACTTCATAATCCAGCCACACCACTGATGCGTTGCCCCCGACAACCGCATCATTCAAGGGTATGCTGCCAGCTTGGATGCGGTATAAGCTCAAGCTTGGACGAGGATATCCTTGAGCAAGGCATTGGATGCGGAGGTTCTCCTTCATGCGATCTAGGCTGATGACTCTGGGTTCTTCTGAGGCTTGGAGAATCTCTGGCTTACTCACTTCTACAAGGCAAGCCACAAGAGTTATCATCATCACAAATCTTGTAGTGCATTGTGTGAGTTTACTGGATGCTTGTAAGACTTTATATATTTGATATATATTGTTTTACACATTTTTATTCAAAGTCAGAGCATCGCTCCATACTTCATAAATATTTGTTATAACCAAAATAATTACAGCATGTATCATTTTACGATTATTTGATACTAGTTGTTTAGTTTATTAGGATCAATAATTAATATGAAGATTGCTAGAAGTATAGATTTCTTAATATATTCTTGTATATATTTATAATTTGTAAACTGAATTGTATGAGTCTCCGGACTTTTTATTTAGCACATTTTTATTAATTGAATTGAATTGATTGAATTGAATATATATATATATATCAAGGAATTGATAGCTGAGCTTGGCAATCATGTCTTCAACTATGTCAATTACTTTCCAAGTATTTGAGAACTAAAAAACCCAAAGGACTATTTACCTCTGACACTGATGACCTGTGATGCGTTCTTCTCCCAATTAGGGTTGCTGCCGTTGGTTGCAACACAGACGTAGGATCCAGCATCACTAAAACTGACATTGGTTACCAATAGAGTTGAAACGAGAGAATAGAGGGGAAAGCTGTACTTTGGGGCTGAGCTGTTCAACCAGACATCAGTACCATTGGGGCTGATGAAGACCCATTTTATCTCGGTGAAGAAGAATACTGTCGCATGGCATTCCAGAGTAAGATCATCACTAATGTAGGCAATGTCAGATCCTGTTGATATGCTAACGCCAGCAGCAGTATCTACGCACATTTTAAGAAAATGTGAAGAGAGAGAAATACAAAATGACAATAAATACATGTAATAATACATATTTTTTCAGAAAGAACACAGAGAGGACTTGGAAGTTTTAAGTTTTAAAAACATTGATAGAGTGAACAAACTGTGTTCTATCTGGTTTTATAACTAGAGTAGTAAAGCAAAAAGTATTTTCAGTCATTTTGTTTCCATAGTTTCTAGAGTTAATTCCCAGTGCAGTTTTAAAGTACTTGCTCTGTCAACTACAGATACTTGTGATCTCTACAGGACATGCTCACATTGTGAAGACTACACACACGTGTATGCAGTCTTCAAGCTTTAGCAGTCGTCCTAATAGACCATTTCGTAGTTAGCACATAGGTCAAATGACCTCAAATATCCACAGATCTTTTACTCATGGAGAAGTCCCACTTCGTGTATTTTAGAATAATCAATGCTAAAGTCATGTATGTGCTTCATGAATAGCTTTTGTTTGCCCTCTTGTATCATAGAATGTACATTAGGAGCACAAATGAATAATGATTACATAACATGAGCACGTATTCATCTCGGTGGGTTTTACAATTTTATCAGAAATGACCTTTACCTGCCCATGCGCAGATAGTACACAGTGACAAAACTTATGACACTAAATGTATGTGACCACAGCAATCACATTGTCTAATGTATGCAACACAGTGTAATTGCATAGGGAATTTGGAAGCCATGTGTACAAATCTTACTTTTGACATATAATGCAGGGGCAAGAGAATGGGGGGGGGGAGGGGTGTTGCAAATCCCCTGGGGACATTTTGAGAAATATTTGACTGCCTCATACGAAAATTATAGCTACACACAATTCAATAATGATATCTATACTCTCTTTTAGATAATAATTTTTCCTAATATGAGAAAGATGTAACCTACCAAGGACTTTAAATTCAACGATTTCCTCGACATCGTCAAAAAATGGAGACGTAGACCAAACTTTACAGTGATACATGGTCCACACACTAGCCTCAACTGTGAGTGTAGCGATGCTGCCATCATGAGAATAATCCACACTCTCAAAACCAGACTCAACAGAAACCGGGGCCAAACTCTCACTAGATCCACACTCTAGTTCCACGGAGGGGTTAGCCGAGCACCTCTTGTAGAACCAACGTGCCCTTTGAAAAGGATGGGGAACGTCAGTTAGTTTCCAGTACTATGATGTGGTCTGGCAACAATCGATCAGCAGTCAATTTCAATAGTCATCAGTGAAGTATTCTACACTAAACATATTGTTATTAGGGACTTTAAGATTTGCACGTCGACATAATGGACTGCTAAGTGTGACGTCCTTTTAAGACGCTGACAGTGCTTTAAAAGGACGTTGCAGCTAGAGCCATAAAAGGATGTTACAGCTAGTGCCTTTAAAGGACATCACACGTAACAGTCCTCTATGTCGATGTGCAAATCTAAAAGTCCTGGGGGGTGTTTCACAAACATCATAAGTTGAACTTATCTCTAAGTTGGACTTAAAAAATATGGAAAGCCATTAGCATCTTTGAAAATATTTTGTAAAAGTTATTTTGAAAGGCATTTATTGTTTATTGAAATCATTCATATTTTCTATCATCAAGGAGATTTCATGTTCTGGATGTGGAATTAATAAAAAGTCTAAAATACTTGAATTTCTGCTTTTGAATATATTTCATTTAAAGACTCCAATGGCTGTCCATAATTTTTAAGTCCAACTTAGGGTTAAGTTCTACTTAGGATCTTTGTGAAACACCCTCCTGATTGTCAAGATTGGACCTAACACTCTACCAAACCCTAAGCCTACTTGTTAAATTCATTTAACATCCAATACAACCTTAATCTTAACTATATATTTGAAATAAAGGAGGTGTTTCTCGATGATAGGATCCATGCTATGGCACTGTACTGTACATGTACATGTACCTAGGATCATAGCCTAGCTTAAAAGACTCTAACAATGGTCAAATAAAAAGAGAATTAGAAAAAGATAGAGTGCAAAGGATTTTCTTATGATATTGTAATCATTAATAAATATCACTGACAGCAAAACCATTGTGAAATATTAATGTTCCAATGTATTTCAATCTATTTTCTTAAAATATATTAGCAAGGCGTTGTTGGTATAGAAATCATTATTCAATGATTTTCCAAAGAGAAAATGTAAAAAGCATATCATGCTGTTTTCATAACTTACATTGGTTTAGGTTTCCCTGTTGATTTACACTCTAAAGTATACATCTCGTCTTTGACGAAACCATTTATAGTTGAATTAAACAGTCTGATCGGTGCAGGATCCATCGAGATGAAGGATTGTGGAGGTACTAAATATAATAATGAAAAGTCAAGAGAAACATTCAAATTAATATTTCAAGAAGTATTTAGCGTCACCTGTGCCTGGGAGGCAAAAAGTGAACTGAATCACTGTTACCCTCGGGTGTCGATCTCCTCCATGTATATTTCTGATTGGGGGTGTGCAAGTAGACCACTACATCGGGGTTTCCCCCTACTCTTATACAAATAGTGCAGTGGGTTCTTAACATGCAAAGGTGGTGACTCCCCTCTACATAATCATAATAATGGCACTTGTATTAACAGATGTAGGTCCTCATTCTTTTCCTTTGCCTGCATAGACAGGTGGTCTTACTGTGATGTTGTTGTTATTATTATTATTATTATCTTTAACATTATCGTTATCATTATTATCATTTTTATTATCATCATCACCATTATCATTATTATTATCATCATAACCATTATCATTATTATTATCATCATAACCATTATCATCATTATTATCATCATAACCATTATCATTATTATTATCATCATAACCATTATCATTATTATTATCATCATAACCATTATCATTATTATTATGATCATCATAACCATTATCATTATTATTATCATCATAACCATTATCATTATTATTATCATCATAACCATTATCATTATTATTATCATCATAACCATTATCATTATTATTATCATCATAACCATTATCATTATTATTATCATCATAACCATTATCATTATTATCATCATAACCATTATCATTATTATTATCATCATAACCATTATCATTATTATTATCATCATAACCATTATCATTATTATTATTATCATCATAACCATTACCATTATTATTATCATCATAACCATTATCATTATTATTATCATCATAACCATTATCATTATTATTATCATCATAACCATTATCATTATTATTATCATCATTATCGTTATCATTATTATCATTATCATTATTATCATTATCATCATAACCATTAACCATTATTATCAGTCTTACCCTGTACTGAGAAGAAGAAGCTAATAGTGGCATTCTCATACTCGTTCCATACATACACAGTGTAGTCTCCTTCGTGAGCCTCTGAGACGTTCGGACTGCACATGCTAAGAATCTTTGTGCTAGAATCCATCGTGAGGACCCAGTTCCTTTGAGGAGAAAGCTTGACCTGAGGCGGTGGGTATGCGGGGACGTCAAAGGAGATGCACTTGGGATGATTAACAATAGCCGTAAGGTTGGTTGAAGGATCCGTAGCATTGTAACGATGGCTGATGCCTGCGTATCCCCTAGCTGCATGAAAGGACAGTTAATGTTTCAAGAGTTTATGTAGAGGTAGACATTATTCGATGAAGCGAAAGATAGATAACCACATCCTATTCACAATAAAATAGTCTCAAACGAGTCACAAAATAGTGGGGGGGAAACAAAAGCACAGAAAATATGTTTTTTGACCATTTATAAATCTGAATATATTTTTTATGAATCTGTTGTTTTGAATCCTTAGCCTAAAAATATGTATTTTGTCTATTTTCCATTTTTTTTCTTACGAGAAAGTAGAAGAAAAATAGTCTGGTGTCTTAGGAAATACTATAAAAATATATATTGATGTTACAGGGCCCAGGTCTATTCATATATATGTATTATGCTCTTTACATTCAGGTGTAAATGGGTACCTGGCAATTACTGGAGTTATATAATGGCAGGACCCTCAGGAACAACATTATTGATACTGATGAGGTTTCCCTGGGTAAAAAAATAATCAATATTGTTATTATCATTACTATCTTTTCTCACCATGCACTTGAACGGTGATCTCTTCTTCTAACGCCAGTCCAATATTTTCAGCATAACATGTGTAGGTGCCATCTTCTTCTAATGTAGCATTTTCAACAATCATAAATTTGATGAATTGAGCGTCATATGTGGTAGTGTCAAAACCTAATTCATCATATTTACGTTCTAGCTGCAAGGAGAAATGGAAGTAATCAAAACTCTTTGGCTCAATCTCAAAACCAAATAAATTGCATATTGGTTAGCAGCTAACACATAAAATTTTTTACCCCAAATTCAGTAGAGGGGCAATCCATCCTTCGATTTGGCTGAAAGCACAAAATTCAAAGTTTAAATCACTAATGGTACGAGGAGCTTAAATCACCAAATTATTCTAACAGTGAAATAATATGAATTTCTAGATTTCTCCTATTAAAGTAACTTTTGCTTTGGGGTTGTAATATAGATACCCTGTAGCATATTTTTCTCCGATAAAATAATCTGCTTAGTGATAAACAATTTGGATATATTATAATTCTAGTCCTTTTGTGTAAGAAAAGAAATGAATTAGGTTCCTATACTATGTCTCAGGCAAGATCTGTGTGCACATTTTTTTTTTTTTTTTTTTTTTTTGGGGGGGGGGGGGGGGAGGGGGTTGGTGATTTGTTATACATGTGTACCTAACTTTAGTTGATAAAAGACAAAAGCTCAAAATATGCATAAGGTCCATGCATGGTAAATGTGTTCAAATTTCTCATGAGCAACATAGTTACCATAGAGAGAATTTATGAAAGCCAAATGAAATGCATTTAAAATCATTTAGCCTAGTAATTTATAAAGCAATAAAGTGTCCATCTATATTCCACATTAATCACTGTCATTCAATAATTGAGCAAAAAATTACAAGGGTAATATTTAGTAATGAATGACAAGGAGAAATTGACTTCAGAATGCCATAAGTCAGTTCATTCAATTACAATCAATTAGCCAGTGCTCACTCAAGCCTAAAATAGTGTAGATTCATTTTATTGTCATCCAAATAGATAGACCCTTACCCATGATTTCATAAGAAAAATCATACAGATATCATTAAATCCAAATTTTTGAGAATATATTCAAAGTGTGTATTTTTTTAATGCACTTTATAGCATATATGTATTTTAACAAGGTCAGAAAGAGGTATATGTATAAAATGCAGATAAGCTAGTACATCATACAATAAACTAGTCAAAAGAATGAAAGTGTGTGCCAGGGATTTGCAAGGTGAACATATCGAAACATGTAAAAGGGCCAAAAATGTAGAATAGTATTAAAATTGAAAACTTCCCTATAAGTTTGGTGGAAAAATACTCATTGTTAGCAAAAATTTCAGTAATTTTTCTATTCAAATTCAAATTTCGCAATTGGTAGTGTTTTATTCACCTGATTTGTTATGTACAAAACTTTTGCACAAACATTCATAAACTCAACTTGGTGCTAGAGATACAATTTGAGATAAGTTTGAGGGCTTGTAAATCCCTGGTAGGGGTTATTAAACCTGGGCATTACCCACTTTGAAAATAGTCTCCAAAATTTTAAAAGGAACATTTTTCAGGATATGACTTAGACTTTACCTCTGTAGGTCTCTGACCCCCTGGTCTCACCCATGCAAAGCTGGGTTGGTATTCTACTGAGTTTTCCAGAGACAGAAGATAGGCAGCTACCGTTCCTATGCAATTCAGTTGAAACCCCTCCTTGTAGGCGATAACCTCTTGTTTGTCTTGAGTAACTTGCAGTTTCAACAAAGGCTTTTCATCTGTGGAAATAATAATGTTATGATAATAATAATTCTTCAAATAATAGTTATAAGAATAACAGTAATAATAATAATAATAATAACATTAATAATACTACTATAATAATAATCAAAAACAATAATAATAATAATAATAACAATGATAATATAATAATAATAATAGTGTAAACTTTAGATAGCACACACCGTCCAGGGAGGCTCATTTTGTTAGCTCAATATCAAAGTAATATCAAACATCACAAGACAGATTTAATCCTTGATTAAAAAGTTTTAGCACATATTAGGGTAACTCCAGTATTCTAAAAATTGAACCCGATTCCTTGATTAAAAACTTACTCGCTCCAGCATCCAAGATCATAGTCATAGATGCCAAGTTTCGGTCATTGTCTGGTAATGTTTGGTTGCTAGTCCTATTTGCAGTAATGGCATAGCACGTGAAGATGAGGCTTATCGCCTCAACATCGATTCGCTCTGGCTCCAGCAAGTAGCCAACCTTTGGGTCATATGTATATGTCCAATAGAAAGTCAGGTATTCCTTGTAAGTGTCTTTGTAGAACACTTTGAAGGTCACAAGACGGCTTGGGTCAGATATTCGACAGGGAACGGTGACTGGATTTGACTTGTTGTACTCTATATGCTCTGTAGCGTACTTTGGAAGGAATATGCGGGTTTCATCTGTTTGGGAAATAAACACAGATACACACGAGTCACGGAAAAGCAAAATGGGTGACCCTATTTATTGACTTATTTATTCACGATTTCTTTCAACAGGGTAGTTTCATTCAGTTCCACTGGAAGCCAGTGGACCTGCTTTTCAAGAAAGCCCTGCATAATACAATAACAGTATAAAACCTTAAGTATAATAATGCAATAATCAAAAATTGTACATACATGTGTTATGTCAGATTAAACATATATCTTTTAGAAATAACACTATTTGAATTCTACAATATTTATTCCCAATTTTGTTTATAAATACTGAATTACTACACTATTAAAAACAGCTAGCCCGCTTTGCCTGTCATGGGCTCACATATGCATATACAGTCTGCATATTCTTGATTCATATATGAGAGTGATGCACTTGTCATTATTTGCAGTTTTTCACTTGGGACAGATGAAAAGGGGGCTTATTCAATCCAAAATCTTTACCTTAAAGATTTTGATCAAAATGGTTTGTCTTGTACAGGCCAACCCCAGTTTGTCCTTTAAGGTTATCACAATTAAACATTCAATAAATTATACACTCTATTAAAAGTTCTAGAATTCTAATTTCAAACTTTATTTTGTTCAGCAATTGTAGCATAGTTTGAATGAGTGCCATACCCTTCACACTCCTCAATAAGATGCCCCTTGTTCTATAGCATCATCTCTTCAGAGTCAGGGGGACGTTAACTCTTACTCTGTGTTAAAGTATATGACTTAACGGCCTTCTGGCTCAAAACTCAACTTTCTTGAGCAAAACAGAGAACGAGATAGTACAAACCATCACTACTGACGAAGACATAGACCGAGGTTCTCAGAGACAGGTCCTCAGACTTGATGTACCGCAAGAAGAGACAAGAGAAATACCCTGTGTTGCTATACTGTGCAGGATCTATATCTAAGATACTCCTGTAATACACGTCTCCATTGGGTCGCCGTAACGTGGAGACGATGATATTCACTTCCAGGTCAGGGAGCTCGTGGACCCAGATAAGTGGCTGGGCGCCCTCACACACCAGGGTGAGTTTAGTGAACTCCTTGATCTTAATGTCAGCCGTTGAATTCAAGATAGTAGGCTTTCCTGTTGAAAGGAAAACAAAGTGAACGCCTTTTAAAGTGACATGCCAGTGTTCACAAAACTCACTCAATTTAGTACAGTCTAAAGCCGATCCAGTTGCTTGAAGAGTCATTACACTGATCTATTTGATCAAATGTTGAGAAAACACACCATTAACAATGGATAGTTGCTTGTAATATGATAAGATTCTTAGGTAATGGCAAATAATCAAATGAGAAAAGTCTAAAACTAGTCGTAAATCAAATGGGGAAAAAATAGATTTTTTTTTCCTTCTCAATTTTTTCCATATGAAAATAGCAGAAAAATAATCTAGTTTTCTAGGATATACCACACAAATATAGAGAAAATAGCCCAATTATATATTTTGCAATTAAAAAACAACCAGGGAAGAAACACATATGTTTAATACATACATTATGGATTTCTTTTTAGTAGGGAGAATGCTATAGTTGCCCCCCTGATAGTACCCTGATTTCATAATGGGGGCACCTAGCTCCAGGGGGTGTTTCACAAAGACTAAGATTGACTTTAAGTTGGACTTAACTATGGCAGGCCATTCATGACGCTGGTTGCTCTCACTATTGGTCTCTCAATTACAGGGGCGTAAATCCGTACCGAGGAGTGGGGGGATGATCGGCGATAGCCATCACATACTAGCAGGAGCACACGCCCACACTAATTAACGCAAGCGCGCGCGATCGCGCACGCACAAACACACAACAAAGACACACACACACACACACACACCCTCGCTCATTAGGGGTGTGTGGGTGATAGGCCTACCGCGCGAAGCGCGGAAGCTTAGACGTTTCCTTAAATTATTAGTAAAAGAAGACGATTTATTGTACCGTTCTCAACTGTAAATCCTTGTCTGAATTCAGTTCCCCCCCCCCCCCCCCTGTCCCGTGCGGAAGTTTTGGCGTTTCATTAAATTTTAAGAGAAAGTAGACGATTTGTTAAACCGTGCTCGACTCTTAACCCTTGTCTGAATGAATCCCCCCCCCCCCCTCCCGCGCAAAGCGCGAAAGCTTTGGCGTTTCATTAAATTATTATAAAAAGGAGACGATTTGCTGTACCGTTCTCAACTGTAAATCCTTGTCTGAATTCAGTTCCCCCCTTCCCCCCCCCCCCCTGTCCCGTGCGGAAGTTTTGGCGTTTCATTAAATTTTAAGAGAAAGTAGACGATTTGTTAAACCGTGCTCGACTCTTAATCTTTGTCTGAATTCAGTTTACCCCTCCCGCGCAAAGCGCAGAAATTTTGACGTTTCATTAAATTATTAGAGAAAGCAGACGATTCGTTGTACCGTTTTCGACTCTTAATAAGCTCTATTTATCTGAATTCAGTTACCCCCTCTCGCGTGAAGCACGGAAGCCTTGACGTTTCCTTAAATTATTAGAGAAAGCAGACGATTGGGTGTACTGTTCTCGACTCTTAATTCTCGTCTGAATTCAGTTTCCCCTTCCCGCGCGAAGCGCGAAAAGCTTAGACGTTTGATTGAATTATTATAGAAAGAAGACGATTCGTTGCACCGTTTTCGACTCTTAATAAGCCCTATTTATCTGAATTCAGTTCCCCCCTCTCGCGCGAAGCGCGGAAGCCTTGACGTTTCCTTATCGTGACATACTGTATACGTGTAGGCTATACATAAACAAAATAACTCATTTCTCATGCATTATGCTGCAATTGAAACAATCATATTTTTTCTTCTTCTTCTTCTTCCTTTTTTTTCCTCTCTTTTTTTTTGGGTAATATCAGGGGGGATGATTGTACAGGCCATCCCCCCCCTACTTCAAACCAGGGGGGAAGCAGCCCCCCCCCCCCCCCCCCCCCCCCCGGGATTTACGCCCCTGCTCAATTATGATCTTCAGATAATAAATTTTCCTTCAATAATGAACTGTCAAATAAGGTAAATTATGTAGATTTGCGACTACAATTTATACGTCCCTTCAGAGACCAATGCCAGTAAATGGTAAGAGCAAGCAGTGGCATGAATTGCCTGCCATAGTTAAGTCCAACTTAAAGTCAATCTTATTCTTTGTGAAGCACTCCCCTGATCGATCAACACCCTTATGGAGTTTGTAACTTACTGATGATCTGCACGAAGTATGTCTGTTCCACTGTGGATCCTTCATAGGTTGCTCTACAGGACACGTCCCCCTGGTATAAGTCTGCCTCCACACCACTCACACTGAACCCTATCTTGTTATCGTAACTTGGTAACTCATCTCGCGACACTACTCCACCGTTCGACAGGACCAGATTCACTTCGGTCGAAGGTACGGTGACACGACATGGCAGGATAAACGGGTCCAGAGCATACACGGAAATAGTTGTGGTGTCACTTGGCAAGAATAGCCTGTTGGCATCTATCGACAAGGAGTAAAGCACATTTATGTCAATGCAATTGCATAGCAGTCTGACACTGATGCATGTATACTGCCAAGTAATTGAGTTCTAGTAATCAATGCAAATATACTTTACAGAATCAAAATTCCTTACGTTACAGACTTTGAATAAATTATATCTGCCTTATGAAAACAATATAATATCTCTAACAGCTGACCAATGAGTCGAAAAAAAGACAAGCATATTTGTTTTCATGATTATTAATTCATTTTGCAGGTCTACATGTAAATAAAGGTAACTTACCCACCACATTCATTGTTCACTTAGGCCACTTTTATCTGAACAGTTGGATTTAACGTAATTTGAAAAATTTCATGTACCCTAACCCCCTTTTCAAACTTACCAGAGGCATTGACATAGACATATATATCCCTGGAGAAGTCTTCACTGTCATGGGTATGTGTGCAGGTAAAATACCCTGTGTCTGTGGTGGTTGCATTCACTACAAGCAGTTCACTGGTCTCGTTCCAAGAAGATGAATCTGCATGGTGAAAAGAGAGAAGAAAGCGAGGGGTCAGTGACACAAAGACGTAACTCCATTTTGACCATTTTGAGAAAAAGTGGTTTATGTGTCACTGAGCACTTGGGCCTTAAGGAGTAAAGTCTATGTTTCACTAACCATTGACTTCAATGGAGTGTTGGGTGGAGTAAACTCTTTGTGTTTCCTGGAAAGCCCACATTTTCCCGAACATTTTGATATCAAATACTCATTTTGGCAAAATATGGAGTTACGCAGACCTGCCAACCTCTGGAGTTCAAAAACTGTATTCTTTAGTGTCAAAAGTTGTATTTCACTGACAAAAGTTGTATTCTTGAAAATAAACACGGATTTTTACGCGGATCAATGCCTCTTACAGTTTATACCTACAGGAAGAATTTTTTTTCTTGATCATTGGTTGAATATGCATTATTTTGTCACGACTGGTGTGTTCGATGAACCAATAAACATCCCCAAATTGCCGATGTGAGATGCTTGTAGGATACTTTACAGGACAGAATGGACATTTTGCCATTGAAAATAGCGGACGCACACACAAAATATTAATGAATAAAAAAATAATAAAAATAAAAAAAATAAAATAAAAAAAAAATAATAAAAAAAAAATTAAAAAATCGTGTTTTTTTTTGTTTTTTTTGTTTTTGAAAATCGTATTTTATTAAGGAAAATCGTACTGTCGTAATTGCTTCTAAAAATCGTACTAAATACGACTAAATCGTACTGGTTGGCAGGTCTGGTTACGTCTTTGTGTCACTGAACCCTGAAAATATACTCCCTAAATGAAATTGGATTGAAAGCGAAACCCTGTTATAATCTTAAGGAATGCATGGAATAAAAGAGGAATGAAGAAGAATGAAGAGCTATTCAAAGTGAAACCCTTAGTGGACTAGGAAAATTCTTATAATAAATATATGGGATACCCTTATTTAACAAAATGTGAGGGGGGAGGTTTATGCACAGCGTGGCGACTACAGAGAAAATTTGAAATACTTTCTTAGTTTTTAATTTTTCACTATTATTATCCTCTGCAGTAAAGGCCTATATGATACCTTAGGAAAACCTTGATCGTTATGTTTTGAATTTGATAACATTTCTAAAATTAGTGGTAAATGGTATAAATGCCAAATGGGGATGCTTTTCACTGTATTTTTGGCTATTATAAACTCAACGCAATTATCATCCTGTTTATCTTCCTACAAGCCTAACACCAGTAAATATAGGAATGATAGGAATTGGGGGGGGGGGGGTATCATTTAGAGGGGGTATCATTTAGAGGTAGTATTTCAATGTCATTACACCCGATGTGATATTTTTTTTTTCGCTTTTAATTTATAAACTCCTTGCCTATGTCTGACATAGCCCATGAGCATCCCACTACCGATTGTATATGGTAAAAGAGTAAATGAAATAACCCCAAACTGTTATTTGAGGAAACATTTCTAACAATGTATGGATGTTGTAGTGTACTATCTTTATCTCAAGATTTGTATTTAGAAAAACATTTTCTATATGCCTTCCACTAGCAAACTGGTTTACTAAGTAGTAATAGGGGAAAGGATTTATATTATAATGCATGATAATAACGAAATTGAAATACTACACGGTTGAGAAGTCCCCTAATCCCGAAGGCCTAATTCTGTAAGTAACCAGTAATGCACAAAATCCGTGTAACCTACTTCCAGCCTATCTCCATCATGGAGCTGTCTAGCTCTATGTCCTAATACTCTCCCACTAATCATATTTCTCAGAAAATCATCCATTAAACTGACCATTCACGAGATCAGGAACGTTAAACAGAAGGGACGGCTGTCACATCCATTATAACTCCAAAGATATAGCTTTCATTAACAGCACGCTGTGAAGCATCATCAGCTGTTGCGTGCCATGTCAAGTTTAATACGGATTCAAGGATCGGGTTACAGACAAACGAGTCGATATAACTAGCTATAGATCCTACCTCCCCAATGTTTATTATTATTATTATGGCCTTACTCTCATTCTCCTATGGCTACTCAATTTCAGAACGATACACGCTACCATATCATTACATGCTGCCTTTCAAACAGAGTCACATAACACCTAGCAGGAGTCCCCAAAGCTGACTTGGAACATACAAGTTCACAAATGCTTGGAATAATATCTGCTCTTTTCGCTTGTCTGCTGTTATATCAATTCAACGACTGCACACTGCAACATGAGCCCGAAGTATAGAGCTATGAACTATTGGAACTGTGACCGCCTATTCCCACCTACAGGATTTACAGAGATCTGCAAACTTCAATCAATAAACCAACAGTGATCTCGTCTGTCCAGAAACATCGTCTGTTCAGAAACAGAAGCTGTTTAATAGCTCACATAGCTAAGATCATTGTGGCTCACAACAGACCATTTTTTTTAAATCAGGTGTAGTGACCGTATGAAAGTTTTACAGCAAATATTTCATTATCATTTCTTCCTTTCATTCCCTTATACTTTTTCCTCAATTCCTCCCCTTAAGCGGGTTTTTTCTGACAGAGAATATATCAACTGCCTTTTCAATAAGGCTACCACGTGGTTGTAACCGAAAGCCTCAATCTGTGAATAGTCCATATTCTCCAATATCGCTTAAGAACCTTTTATAAGCACTTCATTTCAACTTCTTCCTTTCAAGACGACCTAACTAACAGCTAGGGTAGTAATTCAATCAAATTTTGGAAGCAAGATATATAAACTTTCAAATAGGCCCAGCGTCATAACAAGAAGTCTAGTCAGTTACCTGGTATCGGAGTAAGAGGTCTAGTTTAATTGTTACCCGGTATCGGAGTAAGAGGTCTAGTTTAATAGTTACCTGGTATCGGAGTAAGTGGTCTAGTTTAATAGTTATCTGGTATCGGAGTAAAGAGGTCTAGTTTAATTGTTACCTGGTATCGGAGTAAGAGGTCTAGTTTAATAGTTACCTGGTATCGGAGTAAGAGGTCTAGTTTAATAGTTTACCTGGTATCGGGGTAAGAGGTCTAGTTTAATAGTTACCTGGTATCGGAGTAAGAGGTCTAGTTTAATAGTTACCTGGTATCGGAGTAAGTGGTCTAGTTTAATAGTTATCTGGTATCGGAGTAAAGAGGTCTAGTTTAATTGTTATCTGGTATCGGAGTAAGAGGTCTAGTTTAATAGTTACCTGGTATCGGAGTAAGAGGTCTAGTTTAATAGTTTACCTGGTATCGGGGTAAGAGGTCTAGTTTAATAGTTACCTGGTATCGGAGTAAGAGGTCTAGTTTAATAGCTACCTGGTATCGGAGTAAGTGGTCTAGTTTAATAGTTATCTGGTATCGGAGTAAAGAGGTCTAGTTTAATTGTTACCTGGTATCGGAGTAAGAGGTCTAGTTTAATAGTTACCTGGTATCGGAGTAAGTGGTCTAGTTTAATAGTTATCTGGTATCGGAGTAAAGAGGTCTAGTTTAATTGTTACCTGGTATCGGAGTAAGAGGTCTAGTTTAATAGTTACCTGGTATCGGAGTAAGAGGTCTAGTTTAATAGTTTACCTGGTATCGGGGTAAGAGGTCTAGTTTAATAGTTACCTGGTATCGGAGTAAGAGGTCTAGTTTAATAGTTTACCTGGTATCGGGGTAAGAGGTCTAGTTTAATAGTTACCTGGTATCGGAGTAAGAGGTCTAGTTTAATAGGTTACCTGGTATCGGGGTAAGAGGTCTAGTTTAATAGTTACCTGGTATCGGAGTAAGAGGTCTAGTTTAATAGTTTACCTGGTATCGGGGTAAGAGGTCTAGTTTAATAGTTACCTGGTATCGGAGTAAGAGGTCTAGTTTAATAGGTTACCTGGTATCGGGGTAAGAGGTCTAGTTTAATAGTTACCTGGTATCGGGGTAAGAGGTGAAGTTTAATAGTTTACCTGGTATCGGAGTAAGGGTAGAACGGATGAACACCTTGCTGTGGTCAATGCCTTGATAATAAGTCCAGCTGAGAGGATATGATCCTTTACATTGTAAACGAAGTGTCTCTCCCTCCAGGATACTCGTCTCATAGCTGCCTTCGTGACCCAAGAGGTCAGGGGTGCTTCCTAGAGGAGGATGATGATAAAACCAAATCTTTATAATGGTATCTTGAAATACAATGTCAGCCAAGGACGCTGTTGCCCGTAAACTTGGAATCAATTTTTCTAACATCTGCTCATGACATGGTTAATGGCTGTGTCATAATATTGTATTCTTGATAGATAAGATTCATAGCTTTTCAGAACTGTATAGATCAATAGAGATTGATCAATAGAGATTGATCAATGAAGTTGGATCAATAATGCTCGTATTGACACAATCACTTCATGGAAAGAGGTAATAAATAAGTTATTCCAACCGTATCGGCAACAGGGTATATTTTGCATAGAATTTTAGCTTTGATACTAATACAAGTGACTTTTGTTGTAGATAATGTCATTAACGAACCTCAGAATGTTTTTTTTTCAATGGATAAATTGTGTTCTATCAATAAAAGAATTTTGACGTAACTTCTGTCGCTGCGAACAGAATGATAACCAAATCACAAAAACAAAACAAACTCCAAAAAAACATTACAAAAACAAATATACAGAACAGGATAACAAGAAAAACCGAACAAACAAAGTGTACAATATTTCTCAATTTTGTGTGTGTCCGTTTTAAGGTCGCGGGCGTCGAAAATGAACGAAATAAGAGTCACGTCTGTCTTAATGAAGAATAATCATTTGTTATCTTCTTCAAATATTCAAAAACATATTTATGCACCATTTAATCATCATGATCATGTTAACTCAGATAATAAACTGTTAACATATTCCCAATGCATCATCATAATTATATTGAGGGCGCCAGTTGCGATGGTGGTAGAGGCGCAATCTGTTCAGACAATTATCAAAAGGTTAATGGTACCATCTATTCTACCATGCATGGTCGTGGTAGTAGATGTTTTGTTTCTTGATTTTGCTATATTAAAAAAAAACATCTGTGAACGTTAGTGAGGAAAATTAGCAATGTTTATTCAGGGTAAGCGTGAAGCAGACACAACTTGTCAGTAAGCATAATGGGAATGTTTCTTTCCAGCGCCTTCTCCATTCTGGTACTACTCCAAATATATCATGGATAGCATATTATTAAAAGACTCTAAAAAGAAGAAGCTCCCGAGTCACAGACTTATTACAAATTTTAGTCACTTTGTGTTGTAAAAATGGGAAAGTTATCCAGCACTTCGTCACATTACCGATTCATCCAAATTAAAGTGCACGTACAAACGATTACAAATTTCGTAAATTCATAACATTTACTGTCTTATATCTTTGTGCGATTTCGTTCAAACTTTCACTAGTTTGCTTTTCTCCTTTGTCGTCTGCTTTCATTTTTAGAATAGTTTGCTACTAGGGTCGGATTTCCATTTGACATTCAGAGTTTCACATCACCACATGTCAGGCACAACAAAATTGAAACATTGAATCAGCAGAAGCATGTGCAGGCGCGTGGTATGTGCAGAACGCACGTGTTTGCTTTGTTTTAAAAGTTAATTATCAAAGCTTTTTACACATGATATGAATAGACAATTATCGTGCAAAAATAAAGGCATGATTGAAATTTCTGAAAGAAAAAAAACAAGAAAACATTTCAGGAAAAGTCATTTATGGCCCTGTGGGAGGAGAATTATAATACGTTCCTTTTTACTTGTTATAACTACTATTTCAAGCAAAAAGCGGTTAAAAATTGAAATTATCTAATTTGCAAAATATAGACTCTATAAAAGAATTTGAGTCGGAGAAAGAAATTTGAAATGCATGAATCATCATTCTCCTATATTTGACATGCACTACGACATTTTAAAAATTAGTGCATAATAATTGCAAAATGGAATCAAAATGTAGATTATTTTATATCCAATTTGGGAAATAAAACATAAATGCTCTACTAGATACGGACTGAGGAGAAAATAAATGGAAATTTAATCAAAAGAACGAATATGAGCGAAAAACGAAAAATAGCTAGAAATGTGTCAACAGTTAAATATATAAAGATAGACAAAAACAGTGGTAAATTTGTAAGAGTGCTCACGGCTGATAATGTGAAAGAGGAACATAAAGAAATTGAAATGGCGTAGAGAGTGAGAAATAGAGAGAGAGAGAGAGAGAGAGAGAGAGAGAAAGTGAGAGGGATAAAAGAGATATATAAGAGAGAGAGAGAGAAATATATAAGAGAGAGAAAGGGGGCAGCGAAGAGAGACAGACAAAGAGTGGGTGGGAAAGATGGATATGGTGAAGATAGAGATACATGTAGTACGAGAGAAAGGGTGCACAGAGAGAGAGAGGGAGAGAGAGAGGGAGAGAGAGGGGAGAGAGAGAGAGAGAGAGAGAGAGAGAGAGGGGGGAGAGAGAGAGAGAGAGAGAGAGAAGAGGGTGGATACAAACGCAGGTGTATACAAGAATGGGAAAATGTGCAAATAACTAGAGCTCAGTCTCGACATGGAAAATTCAACATCATTTTTCGAAGTATAACAGGAGGTTACCAAACTAAATGCACAAATTATAATACATAATGGCTGGAATATTTATAAACCTTCAAAACTAGCGCAGTATTAAGAAAGATACGGGTATAAACATTGTAGTTATTTATACATGTAAGTGCATAGATAAAATAGTATTGTGCAGCGTATATATTAATCGACAAGCACTCAAACGTTTTCAAATTTTGTAGTTTGGTCGACATACATGTACTGTACACGTACAATTCAGATAAAGACAACAACATTTAAGGACCGTAGTTTTTAGGCAATGGACCTTCTTCATTTCAAAAGAACATCCATTGAATCAAATAATTATTATTCGACATCTTATAAACATATTAAATTATAAAATTACACAAATTCATTACAAATCCATATGCCCATGCATGCTAATGGTAAGTACCTAGTAAAGATTATTCCCGCAAATCAAAATGAGCAAATACTACGAAGGAACATGAAAGCAGGTATACATGATCTTACCTTCGATAACCCCTGTTCCAACAAAAAGTTTGCGGGATATGAATGAACAAGAATCATTTCAATTATATAAATGTTGTATGACTCTATATTTCCTTCTTATCTTGTCAGCTGGTGCGAAATAGCTGCATGCATATTACAGTGTTTCCAGCATTTCATGAGAAAAGGAATCCTTGATTATCTCTGTCTTTGCCCTGACGGAGTTTCAAAATTCCAGGATCGCGAATTCAACCTATTTCCAGTTTAAGATGTTATCATAACCAATCATACAAATTCATACGATGTTGGCTACGAGACGAAATATAAGGTACTGAACAACTTTCTTCACTGCCAATAAAATTTCCTTATTTGAGTAACTTTCCTCAAATTCCTTGACTGGAAAAGAGAACTTAATATCAAGGTTTATCCTTACTTCCTCGATAGCTGGAAACCCTCTATTATGGGATATAATTGCCCAATATGTATTCATGGAATGTGATGCAAATTTTTGGTATCTTTGATTTCGGAAATGCATTCCCCCCCCCCCCCCCAAGTTATTAACTCCTTTCTTGCTCAATTCACACTGATATCATGATGACTGTGAAATATATACAAGCATGATATCATCAACGAAATATAGCTATAGTTCATTTAAAAGTAAGACAATGAATCAAAATAAAAAGGAATATATGCGTGTACATAATAGGAAAACAATTCGAATGCTGAATAGTAAAATGGAGATGGAAAGCTACTTTAATAAATGACAAAGCTTGGCTCACTATGTAAACAGTAAAATGTAAACTCTCACAATGTAGACATAATGATAACGCAACAATGTGATGGGTGAAAGATAGCTACATGTACTCATCTACGACAACTACTCCTATCTTTTGGACAGGTATGCCCCCTCCCCTCCCCCACCTTACCATGTTACCCCTATGGCTGGATTAGATGTCGGGCAAGGGTGGTAATGCAAGGGTGCAGTTGTTCTTATAATAGCTGGTTGCAGGGGGGAGGGTATTTTTCTAGGGAGTGGGGCAAAAATCCACAAACAGTCTAATGGTGGTATTCAATTGGGGGTAATTTTTTAAGGGGTATTTTCTAGCGGTGGTATAGCGAATTTTTCCCCAATATGACCAATAGATAAAGATATACATTTACGTACCTACAACGTTTAGAGTGGCTGATGCTGACCCTATCAAAGCTCCTTGCTCAATTTGGCAGGTGTAGGTACCAGCATCCTCGTCGACAGCCCGGGATATCATCAACGACGTGGGCGCAACTATGGCTATCCTATCGCTCTGGGTAACGGTATTGCGGCCCACACCACTGTACGTCCGAAGCACGGCGCCATCTTTCAACCACGTGATCGTTGGGTCTTGATTGGACACCTGTACTGGTTCTAGGTCCTGGTCTAATTGGTCTAGGCTTGAGTCAATGATGGGCACGGTGTAATTACAATGGAGAGTTGCACTTAATCCTTCGGTCACCTGCACTGTATCTGGATGGACCGTCACCAATATGTTCTGGCATGTTACTGGCACTGTCAAAATGGAAGAATAGTAAAAATTATGCTAAAAGAAAGAAAGAAACCAACCAAAAGGTAATAACTCACACACCCACACACGCAAATATATATGTGTGTGTGTAATATGTGTGCGTGTGTGTATACGACACATACTATAATTCATTTCGTGATAACTGTATGCATTGGGGTCAAAAACAAAATTAAAGTTTCAAATCTGATTTCTTTCATGTATTGATTCTTGAATGAAAGTGAAAGAGTTTTATTTTATCCACACCCCCTCACTCTCAATAATCTACGCTCACACACACACAGTGTACCATCTCTCTCTCTCTCCCTCCCTCTCTCTCTCTCTCTCTCTCTCTCTCTCTCTCTTTATCTTCCTTTCTCTTCCCCAGTCACGGACGTTATGACCACATCGAGGATTTCATTCCATTGAACGCATGAGGAAACACATTATATATTCCATTGGTGCGTGGCGGGAAGACACTAACACCAAAAAAGCTAATGAAGTAGTCATCAAAAAAATGGACACAGAATCTGCGACCCTCGCGTCTACTTGCTCGCAGTAGTAAAGAGTGGTAAATAAGCTACAACTGTATGTAAGGTTTTGTGGAGTGAGCAGCGAATCAAGTTACCATGGTGATTTGTTGACCAGGTTTAAAACGTGACAAATATTACATTCCCCGGCTTTAAAGGGTAAATGACCAATTTCGAAACTGCAGGGTAGTGTTACGGATAGGCAAGGCCCGTACTCGTCATTTAAACGTGACCACATATCATAGTTTTCCTTCTGCCATGTCCGAGTACTGCATATCTGAATCCTCTCTCATATAACAAACACATTCTCCTTCTGGACTAGAATTAAACAAGAACAAAACAAAATGGCAGCGTCATATTGTATGTGAAGTATCTATATTATCATCAAAAACTGTAACGTATAGCATAATGACATTTTAGACAGTTTTGTTTCAAAATGCGGGTTTACTGCGAGAACTCTAGATTAACTGCTATGAGACCTCTTTGCACAAGTTCACGACTAATCGCCAATCACTCATAAGCGATCGCTTGAGACTCATTAAAACTTGAATCTTGATTGGCCAATACCATGTGACGGTAGTAATAATAATAATAATAATAATAATATAAATTTATAACGCGCACGTATCCGGAACTTCCGATCAAGGCGCGACAGACAAAAATGATGCAGATTACACAAAACAGTTCAACAGATATTATTTCTACACGTAATTAAACTTAAATCTTAGATAAATAGGAATTCAAATCTTATATATATATACAGAAATGCAAGTATTGGATAAACAGATATAAATATATAATACAATTCAACATAATATAGTTCTTTAGGTAATCAAACTTAAACATCAGATAAATAAAAACGTTTTCAACTGGGATTTAAATTGTTCTGTGGAATCTAATTGTCTAAGATGAGAAGGAAGAGAGTTCCAGAGGACGGGTGCAGTTTTTGCGAAGGACCTGTCTCCATAGGTAACAGTTCTTGTCATTGGCACGACTAGTCTCGTAGCCTCTGAAGACCTCAGTGACCTCACTGACTGCGTTACTGATACCATCTCAGAGAGGTACTGGGGGGCCTGACCATGCAGAATCTTGAAGGTAGTCAGACAAATCTTGAACACGAATCTCTTCTGTACCGGTAGCCAGTGCAATTGACGAAGGATATGACTTATTCTCGCATACTTCCCTGCCTTAGTAAGAACACGGGCTGCGTTGTTGTGTACTCGCTGCAAACGAGAAATGGCTGAGGAAGGGACACCGACCAGGAGGGCGTTACAGCAGTCCAATCTGGAAGTTACCAAGGCATGGATGATCTGTTCTGTAGTCTGCTTCGACATGTATTTACGGATTCTCCTGACATTCCGAAGGTGGAAGTTTGCACTTCTGCAAATGGATGAAACCTGCTTTTCCATATTGAACAGATGGTCAAAGACGACTCCCAAATTCCTAGCTCAACTTGATGGAGAGATAGTATGACCACCAATGTTCAGGTTTCGAGGGTGAAAAGTTGAGTGACGGTCCCATTGGCAGATTTGGTATCGTCATCAAATTTGCCTTTGGCAGTTTGGTGACATTAATTATTTCGACAAGAACATCAAACTAGCCAAAGGAATTTTGTTTTTATCATTTATTTGTATTTGTTCTTATTATCATTTATCTGCAATCACGTTGATCTCTGGCCTATATAAGAAATGTAAACATATCAAACATATAGTATGCATAACGGTTCCAAGCATGACATTTTAGATTTAACCATTTGAGAGTTCGATAGACTGCTTTGATGTTATGAGGAGACACGACATGATGACGTCAATCCTTTCGTTTTCCGGCTACCTTGCCCTCGGTAACAGTAGTTCATTTCCGATAAATCTGCCACAGAATGCGGATTTTGGCATCGATACATTACAACTCGTGACATGAATACAATGTTTTGTTATGTTTCATATTGTAAGTCTATTATCCACATTAAAAATACAGTGTTTTGCTGCTGTTTTTGTTGTTGTTGCAATATCTTCTGTACATCCGAAGTACATTATTATATGCATTTGTAACGATTCTATTTTGAATAGGACTTAGAATGTGCTATCCGCGTAATCTCAGTAACAAAAAAATGATGGCTGTTACTCTACATAGGCCTGATTCCATATGTTCCCAAACATACATGTACATACATGTATACTGCCGAAGGGGTAATTATAAGGAAACCTTTCCAAATATCCCATTTAAGTTTTTTTCTACAGATGGTATTCATTATATCTAATTTGCTAAACCGAGGGTTAATTTAACCTCCCCCCCCCCCCGCCCCCAACACACTCTATTAAACTGTAATGGCGGGGGAAGACGGGGTGAGGGGTGGGGGAGGGGGGTTATGAGGGGAAGGGATACATGAGATGGATCGCTCCAGTAGCACAGATCACTACAGGCATGAAATGTAGCCCTGTCTAGAAAAACACTGCTCTTCTGGTAATCGCGTTGTTTATGGGGAGGTTGTTGGAAATGAACGCTGACTTTCAGTCTTGATGCATGACCTTCGATTCGGGTCATGACCTCTACGTGAGATTTCTGACTGAACCTGTGAACCGGTACCTTAGTGTCATGGCAACTTCACAAATCGACTGAAAATCAATCGGAGACTAGTATTATATTCATCAAGGCATAATCTTTTTTCCACCCCATACGGAATGGAGAATATGCACACATTGCGTAGAGGCGAGCCTATTATCCTGTGACAAAATATACATCAACAACATCATGTTTATCAAAAATAAAAAGTATATATAGTTTGATATATTTCTTTTCCCCAGTGGATCTACAGGAATGATACAGTCCCATATTATCTTTGGTATAACCATAGGCGATCGATATGCCTACATACATGTATGACCAATACTAGTGTTGTCGTAGTATAGTGGTTAAAGGGTCTAGTCCGAGCCCGACATTAACGTCATTCGGTAGTACGTTATATGCGCCACTCTCCACCCAGGTGTAAATGGGTGCCTGGCAATTAATGTGGTAATAATAATTCCAGTGTGCAGAAAGAGCAGTAACTATTGTTACTTAATATGAGTCTTTCGCACAGTTCAAAGGATGACCTACATGTAATTAAAATTACGCTAGGTTGATTTTTGGAAAGTAGTTATGTTTGGATTAAATGAATCATCCATGAGGATAAGATTAAGTAAAACTGCTGACCCCCCCCCCCACGCCCACAAAAGCACCCTTGATGGATCGTAAATAAATATAATCACGTAGCATCAACAAGAAAATGATTAAAAAAATAAAGTGCATCCAAAATAGAGAGGGACAGAGCAGAGATTATTAAAAATAAACGCATGAGACTAATCGGGAAGAATCAACCTCTAGATGTATTATGTCTTACATGTAGTTGGTGAAAGAGCACGGTCCTAAGCGATATGAACACGGTCCTCACTGGTATAGCAACGGTCCTTTCATCTCGTAGGTGGACATCAATGAAGGATGGAATGAGGACAATCACGTAACTGATCTCATCGGGAGAGAATGGAATTAAAGGGAATTTAGGAGAAAGCGGGAAACGAGGTTGATGCAAAGAGTAAACGGATTCAGCTCTCCACCCCCCCCCCCCCCCGGGAACGAGATGCCCTCATTACCGCTCCCTCTCTTGGGAGAAAAGCTGGTCGATGGTGCTAGGCTTCTGTTACTTTGCTTTTCATGCGGCCGATTTACCAGCGCCCTGGATTTACAGCAAATATTTAGAAGAGGTATTTTATTATTATTAAGGCCTATTCCTTTACGTACATGTATTCATTAATTTACATTTATCAATCTATTAATGTATTAATGCATTTTCGTAATGTTGCAGGCCTATATGGAATGTACGCGTACGTATTTTACATATGTATACATGTAGGCCAATGGATGGGTAAATGGAAGGGTATGGGAGGGTGTGTGTGAGGGTGCATTTGAGGGTGTGCGTGTGAGGGTGTATTTGAGGGTGGGTGTGAGGGTGTGTGAGTGAGTGTCTTTGAGGGTGTGTGTGTGAGGATGTATGTGAAGGTGTATTTGAGGGTATGCGTGAGGGTGTATGTGTGTGTGTGTGAGGGTGTGTGGGAGGGCGTGAGGGTGTGGGTGTTAGGGTGTGTGTGTGAGGGTGTCTGGGAGGGTGTATTTAAGGGTGTGTGTGAGGATGTGTGTGAGTGTGTGTGTGTTTGTATGGGAGGGTGTATAGGAGAGTGTATGTGAGGGTGTGTGTGTGGGAGGATGCGTGTGCGTGAGGGTGTGTGAGGGTGTATGGGAAGGTGTATTTGAGGGTATGTGTGAGGGTGTATGTGTGTGTGTGTGTGAGGGTGTGTGGGATGGCGTGAGGGTGTGGGTGTTAGGGTGTGTGTGTGAGGGTGTCTGGGAGGGTGTATTTAAGGGTGTGTGTGAGGATGTGTGTGAGTGTGTGTGTTTGTATGGGAGGGTGTATAGGAGAGTGTATGTGAGGGTGTGTGTGGGAGTGT